GGGACACCGCTTAGGGTCGCTGCGCCTCACGGGCAGCGATTTCGGCGACTTCTTTCTCGGAGAGGGCTCCGCGGTAAAGCCGGACATCGCTGAGTTGGCCGTTGAAGTAGTCGTGCGGGCCGAACCCGATCTTTAGCGGCTGGGTGTTGGTGAGGTCGTAGTCGGCGGCATCGTAGGCTGAAGACTCGGCGGCCAGTTCGCCATCGAGATAAAGCTGCAGGCGGTTTGGGGCTTTCACGGCGGCCAAGTGAACCCAGCCCGGGGGCAGTTCGCGGTCGAGCGTGACACTCTTGCCGGCTTCGATCGACATGACGTGCCCTGAGGGGAGCGTACCAACGAAGAGCCGGCCGTCGAACACGGCCATCGTCCAGGCCCGGCGGTAGCGAACATCGGGAGTGAGATCGACCCGACCGGTGTTCTTCCACTGGTTCGGGCCATCGAACCGGTAGACCTCAGCCAGCGGCAGCGTGCCGGCGAAAAGTCCGCCGTTGTAGACGGCCATTCCCATCACTTCGAGTTCTTCGCCCAGTTGCCCCATGTCGGTCCAGTTGTTGTCCGCTTCGTAGCGATACACACGCCCTGAACGCCAAGTGCCGACGTAAAGTCGCCCGTGGTGGATGGCGAAGCTGTAGGTTTGCGAGTTGTCGGCCAGGTTGCCGCAGTGGGTCCAGTCGCTGCCGTCGAAGCGGTAGATCGCGCCTTCGTCGTAGCCAGTGGCGAAGAGGAAGCCGTTGTAGACTGCGAGGGCTTCTACACGTTTACCGCCAGGGCTGCCGCAGTTGGTCCACGTCTGGTCGCCGTCGTAACGGAACAATCCGGCGGGGGCGTACATGGAAGAGGCGTAGAGCTTGCCGCCATAGACTGCGAGCCCGTTGATGGCCTGCACTTCGGGCAAGGTGCCGACGAGCTGCCAGGTTCCGTCGCCCTGATAGCGATAGATCTTGCCACCGGGGTATGGGTTTTCTGACTCGGTGAGTGAAGACCCGGCGAGTCGATATTTCGATACGGCTGCGTACAGATGACCATCGTAGACCGCCAGCGCGGAGACGGCGTTGCAACGATCGGGGGCGCCGCAGTCGATCCAAGACTGGTTGCCATCGAAGCGATAGACGCGACCGGCTTGGTTGGTGCCCGCCACACAGGTTCCTGCGTAAAGGGCTCCATCGTGCACGGCCAGTGAGTAGATCAAGATCGCGTCGCCGGGGCGGCCGTTGTCGGTCCAGGCGTTGTCGAGGTAATTGTTGTCGATGCCGAACTGGACGTGACGATAGTTGGCTTGACTGGTAGTTCCGCCGACGTTGTGCTTGATGGTTAGATTAAATCCACGCCGGGTTTGAGAGTCGTACTTGCTGATGACATCGCCGAGGACGTCGTCGAGATCTGCGGCGGTGTTGACCCAGGCGGTGATGGAGAATTCGTCGGTGCCAAGGGCTAGCGGTTCGCCGTTGGGAACTTCGAGGTAGGAAGTCATTCCGTCGAAGGTAGCGGCTTTGCCGGTGCGGGGCTGTGCAGCAGGTGTGGTTAGGCTGGCCGCGTGGTTTTGGGCGTGGAGTTCGTTGCCGGAGGAGTCTTGGGCGTTACCGTTGAGATTCCAACGGGCGATGAGGGTTGGTTCTACGGCGTAGGCGCTTGCGGTGCCGAGAATCAACAAGAAGCCAAGCAGAGGAATGATGGACCGATTCATGGGCAGTGGCTCACGGCAAGGGAATGCTCTTGTATGCAGGTGCATCTTGCTTCAGGGGCGGGAGAGAAGCAAGGAAAAGCCGAGCGTGCGGCGTAGAATCATCTGCAGAACTCGAGCCTAAGAGCAGGGCCTCTTGTTGACTTCGTCGACGCCGCTTCGAGAAGCGGGGCTACCCTTGTAGGGAATCGCCCAATTACGTTGGGGTGCAGCTTTCGTTGCATTCGTCGACGTCGGCCGAGGTGTCGCGGCCGGGAAGGTCCTCGGCGTACCAGTGGGCCAGGGCCTGCTCCCAGCCTTGGCGGTCTTTCACGGCGATGAAGGCGTTGCGTACGGCCTCGGGATCGGGATGGAGCCGCGAGTACTTGATGCCGAACTTGCGCATCTGGCGAGCACACATCTTCTCGCCGTAGATTTCTTCGGCCAGGCGGAAGTGCTCGGCGATTACTTCGCGTTGCTCGTGTAAGCGTGGCGGGGGAGGTAGGGGGCGTCCTTCGGTAAGGGCGCGAGCCTGACTGAACACCCAGGGGTTACCAATTGCCCCGCGGGCGACGGTGACTCCGTCGACCCCGGTCTCCCGAATCATGTCGATACAGGCCTGGGCGGAGAAGAGATCACCACTTCCCAGCACGATGCGATCGCCGACGTGCTGCTTGACCTCGCGTAGAAAGTCCCACGAGCTGGGGCCGATATAGCGCTGCTCGACTGTGCGACCATGCACGGTGATGCCGGCCACCCCGAGTGCGAACACGCCGTCGACAATTTCGAAGAACTTGTCACGGCTTTCCTGCGAGTCGTCGATGCCGCGACGCATCTTCACCGTGACGGGGACATGCGAAGGGGTGGCTTCGCGGACACGGGCCACAATCTCGAGCGCGGTGGTCGGATCGCTGAGCAGGAAACCACCCCGGCAGCGGCCCAGCACTTTTTTCACGGGGCAACCAAAGTTGATATCGAGCACGTCGAACCCGGCGGCAACCAGTTCTTGAGCGGCTGCGGCGAACATCTCGGGTTCGCTGCCCATCAGTTGTCCACCGGCGGGATGGTCTTCATCGTCGACGCGGAGCAACCGCTGCTTGGTCTTGCGCCCCTGCTCCAGGATGAGCTTGTCGAGTATCACTTCGCACAGCGAGTACGGAGCACCGAGCTTCCGTGCGATCGCCCGCATGGCCCAATCGCTGTAGCCGCTGAGTGCAGCCTGCACGACGGGGAAGCCGACGTGGACATTGCCGAACGCGAGTGGGCGGAGCTGCGGCGGGGCGGTTGTATCGGGCCCGAGGGTGGTGGCTTGCGAATTCATTCCGCTATTTTAGCGCGAATCGACACGGCGGGCGAGGGAGGTTTGAGGTGCCACGCGGGGTTTTGGTCGATTTGGGCGAATCCTTCCTCTGCTGTAGGGAATGCCCTCTGTGGCATTCCGAGCGTTGCGGCGATTCTCGGAACACCACAGAGGGCGTTCCCTACAGGGGTGGGTGTTGGGGCGTTGTGACGAGAACCACTGAGAGGAAAAAGCCGACTTTCGAACAGAGGCTACTACCGGTGACGAAAACGCTACCACTTCTGGACGACAGCAGAAAGCCCCTCGCTACGCCCCCAGAACTTTATCGAATCATCTTTCTCTATTGCCCGCCTCGCGATGCTCGACTGGTTCGACTCGGAGAGTAATGAAGTTCTTGTCTTCGGGCTTGATTTCGAATGCAAGGTGCGAGGTTTTATAGTCGGCGAACTGGAGACCGACTGCATGGCCATGGTCGTGCACTATCTTTGGGAGATACTCCTCGGCAAGAACGCTATCGGTCGCGATGAACTGAACAACAACCGCTTGATGACTGCCTGCCACGGCACCATCGTCTGCTGTATAAGTTCCTAACGTAAACGAACCATCTCGGGCAATCTTACCCCGGGCATTGATTCCGTGCTCGGGCGAACGCGACTCGACATACCCCGTCCGAACGGGTGAACCATCAGAGAAAATGACACGTCCCTTGGCCGGAAACGTTGGGATCTGGCCGTCTGAACACCCCAACGCGAGACCTGCCACAAAAGCGATCGCCAGAATGTGGAAGTACCGACGCATGCGTATGGGTTACTTTCCTGAGGTGTGACTGGATTGCGAGATCTCGAACTCTTAGCACGAGAGTCTACTCAAGAGAGACTGCTTTCGCGTCAGCACGATTGCAAAGACTGCCCAATGCTGAGGTATCGATGGTCAGTGCAACTGCACGGACGCTACCATCTGTCAAAACAAAGTGACATACATCGGGATGCCAACTGCCAAATCCTCGAATCGGGATACTCGTGTCGTCCATACCACGCGCCAGGGGAATTCCGGGACCTCCTATCCGAGCAAAAGCGGTCAAATCCTCTCCGTTGAATATCGGGCCGTTCTCTGGCGGCTTGGTAAGTCTATTCACCGGAATGTGCATTTCTCCGGCAAGAAACGTGTTGCTTAAACCGTCTGTGATGTCGGCTGCTCGAACCTTGTCGTACCAGTCGACAGGAGAGCCTTCTTTACACACGGCACGACTTGTGATGATTACCCCGGTTCCATTTCCTCCGCGCCAGTAGTCTGTCGGACCTCCCATAGCGCCGCCCGTGAAGTCGCCGTGATTTCCTGCATAATCGCCGACCGCTCCACCACGTAGCTGAACCAAAACTGTTAGTGGAGGCCCACACCCGCAACCGTAGTACAGTGGCTGCCTTATCGTAGACGATGGTATCACCGCATCCCCCGCAGTGCGTCGCGTGGGGCAAACCAACAACGACATCGGGCGCTCGATCGCTTCGATGGGCTGCGACGAGTACTCGTCGTAAACATCCCACTTCGTAAAGGCGTTTTCGTCTTCGACATACGGCATTATTCTCACGAACCACGATGGTTCCTTTCCGCCGCACGACAATGATGGGTCGTCGCCTGTACCAGGATACAATCTCGCAGGGGGGAAGGCTCCGTAGCTCTCATGAAAGAGAAGCGTAGCGAGCCCGATTTGCCTCAAGTTGTTTTTGCAGTGATAACCACGGGCAGTTTCACGAGCAGCTTGCATGGCAGGAAACGCCAAGCTGATAAGAAGACCTATGATCGCAATCGCAACGAGTATTTCTACGAGGGTGAATCCATGCAGCTTCGGGTCACGATCTCGCTTATCTCGATAGCCAATCCACATTAGCCTTGCCCCTAAATTCACAATGCTCGGACGTTTGTTTTGAATTTGATCAGTCTAATCGGTCGCGATTGAACTGTCACTTTAGGGTGCAATATGTGTCATAAATCTTAACAAAACCAAGCGTTACGACGTCTCAGTGGGACTTGCTTGGGCTGTTAGAACCGCATGCCGGTGAAGCCGCCGTCGACGTAGAGGCTGGTGCCGGTGACGAAACTGCCGGCGGTGCGGGAGAGCAGCAGGAGGGTGGCACCGATGAGTTCGTCGGGCTCGCCGAATCGGCCGGCGGGGGTGCGGTCGATGATGTTGTTTTTCCGCTCGGCATCGAGGATGGCCCGATTTTGCTCGGCAGGGAAGAAGCCGGGGCAGAGGGCATTCACACGTACATTCTGCGGGGCGAGTTCGCGGGCGACGTTCTGGGTGAGGTTCACCACGGCGGCTTTGGAGGCCGAATAGGCGAACACCCGAGATAACGGAAGATGGGCCGTGACGCTGGCGATGTTCACGATTGCGCCACCACCGTTGGAGGCCATGTGCTGGCCGAATATTTGGCAGCCTAGATGCACGCTAAGCAGGTTCGAGTCGAGCACGCGCTGCCAGTCTTCGTCCTTCACTTCGAAGTAGGTGCTGGCGCTGTTCACGCCGGCTCCGTTAATGAGCATATCGACCCGACCGAATTGCTCGAGCGAGCCGGCGAGCAGGGCTTCGATCGATTCGCGCGATGTGACATCGACCGACAGGAATGCGGCCTTTCCGCCGGCATCGACAATACTCTTCACGCAGGCCTCACCGCGATCGGCCCCACGGCCGGCTACGACGACGGCGGCCCCGGCTCTGGCGAGCCCTCGGGCCAGTGCACCGCCGAGTGTTCCGGTACCACCGGTGACGACGGCCACCTGATCATCGAGACCAAAGAGAGACTGTAGATACTCGGCAGACACGTTTTGTGAGACCTTTGCTTGGGGGTGCAGTGGTGGTTTCAGGATCGGCTTTGGCTGCGACTATTCGGACGGCTGGCGACGCAGGCGAAGCCAGTCGGAATGGAAAGTGCCTTCTTTATCGACGCGTTGATACGTGTGGGCCCCGAAGTAATCACGCTGGGCTTGCAGCAGGTTGGCAGGCAGGAGTTCTTGGCGGAACCCGTCGTAGTAGGCCAACGCGGCTGAACCGGCGGGGGTTGGCAACCCCAAGTCGATGGCCGTTTTGATCACCCTTCGCCACGCAGGCTGGGCTTTTTCAATGGCCTCGGTGAAGTAAGGAGCGAGCAGTAGGTCTTCCAGGTTCGCGTCTTTGTCGTAGGCTTCGCTGATGCGATCGAGGAATTGGGCGCGAATGATGCAACCGCCACGCCAGAGCGAGGCAATCTGGCCAAAGTTCAGCTTCCAGCCGTACTCCTTGGCGGCGGCCTGAAGTTGGAAGAAGCCCTGAGCGTAGCTGCAGATCTTCGAGGCGTAGAGGGCCTGACGAACGTCTTCGATGAACCCGTCGCGATCGCCGTCGAATTTTCCGGAGGGACCTTGCAGTACTTTGCTGGCTCGAACGCGGACGTCTTTCAGGGCCGAAAGCCCCCGGGCGTAGACGGCCTCGGTGATGAGCGTGGTGGGCACGCCCAGGTCGAGGGCGAGCTGGCTCATCCATTTGCCGGTTCCCTTCGCGCCGGCCACATCGAGGATGCAATCGACCAGGTCGCGACCGGTATCGGGATCTTGCACGCTGAAGATATCGCGGGTGATTTCAATGAGGTAGCTGTTCAGTTCGCCGCGGTTCCACTCGTCGAACACGTCGTAGAGTTCGGCGTTGGTGAGCCCGACGGCATGCTTGAGCAGGAAGTAGGCCTCGCAGATGAGCTGCATGTCGCCGTACTCGATGCCGTTGTGGACCATCTTCACGTAATGGCCCGCACCTCCGCTGCCGATCCACTCACAGCAAGGGATATCGTTGTTCGGCCCAACCTTGGCGGCGATGGCTTGAAAGATTGGCTTGACCAGCGGCCAGGCTTCTTCCGATCCGCCGGGCATGAGACTGGGGCCCAGCAGAGCACCTTCTTCACCACCGGAGACGCCCATGCCGATGAACCGGAGGCCTTTGGCTTCCAGCGATTCGCTACGACGGGCGGTGTCGGCGAAGTGGGAGTTGCCGCCGTCGATGATGAGGTCGCCCTTTTCGAGCAGAGGCTCTAGCTCGCCGATCACCTCGTCGACGGGATCGCCGGCCTTGACCATGATCATGATCTTTCGAGGCGTCTTGAGCTGGGCGACGAGATCTTTCACCGTCTTGCAGCCGACCAGGTTGCGGCCTTTGCCCGTCTCGTTTTCGAACTTATCGACGGCAGCTTCGAAAAGATCGTACCCCGCGACCCGGTACCCACGGCTTTCGATATTGAGTGCGAGGTTTGCCCCCATCACGCCCAAGCCGACCATGCCGATGTCACATAGTTCTGCCATGAGAGTACTTCCTTGAATCTGTTAGTCGAAAGGTGGTTCGTACGACCGAGGGTGGCCAAGGTTATGCGTGTTCGCTTTCACCCACTTACGTTCCAGGGCGGCTGTTCGGGCAAATACTGGTGGAACTCGGCCAGGAGTTCTAGTTCGTAGGATCCAGCGAAGGTACCGGCGAGGAAACGGTCGATGCCTTCTTCGTAGAAGCGACGCCAGCTTGCCTCTTCGTGTCCAGGGTTGATCGGGAAGAACAGGGCGTTATTCGCCACGGCCGCCTTATGGTCGCCGGGGGCGTCACCGATCATCAGGGTGTGATGCTCTGCGTATTGCCTGGCAGCCGAGAGGGTTTCTTTCTTGCTGCCGCTTTCCTGTCCACAGATGTCGGCCACGTACTGCGAGATGTCGTGCTCTTCCCATTCGCGGCGAAGGGCCTCGTTGGGTGTGGCGGAGATGACCAGCATGTCGGCCTGGGGCTTCAGCTTTTCGAGGCTCTTTCGCACGAAGGGGAAGGGCGGAACGCCGCGAACGAACTTCTCCACCGTGTCGTTGACGGCCTCGGACCACTTGAGGGCTTGCCTGAGATCGGCATCGCCGGTTTCTGCGACCGCTTGCTTGAGCGTGGGGTTGCCGAGCTTGGTTTCGCGCTCGATCCAGGCAACCAAGCCCGGCGGGATGGTGATTTCGACCCCGCGATCGGCAACCTCGGGGCGACGCTTAAGCCACTCAAGGGCTTCGACCAGAGCGGGGAAGCGATTGATGCCGCGACTCTTCGAGTACAGATTGACGAACTCGGCTGCCTCGCGGGCGTATTTGCTCACGCCTTGCAGTTCGTATTCGTTGATGATGTTGGGGATGAAACACTCTTTGTGCTTCAGCTCCATCGTGTCAAAGGCGCAGCCATCGGAGTCGATGCCGACCAGGAAGTCATGCTGTTTGGTGTAGTTGCTCATTTGGAAAGATCCGAGTCTTACTTGCTCTGCCTGCCACGGTTCTTACCGTGGCCTCTCGGGCCAAGCACTGCTGGGCAGGCCAGTGGCACCCGTTGAATTCAATTCTTTTACTGACTAATGTTATTTCTTCTCGCGGTCGGCCTGCGGGACGTAGGACGCAAGCTTTTGATTGGCGTACAGCGGTTCGAAGTGGGTGAGGCGTTGCCGTCCGTCGATAAGTGGCAGGCTGATCATCTCTTGCCCGACCAGCGGTTTGGCGTAGTTGACGAACTCGTCGGTGACGTCGTATCCATTGTCGGCGATCCAGTCTTCGCGAAACTTGCGTTCGCTGTTGGCGACTTCGGCCAGCGGGACCTTGTCGTATCGCACGTTGTAGATGGGGCCCGACTCGCGGAGGATCGTGGACATGAATCCGCTTTCACCGCGGGCGGCCAGCAGCGCGGCCATTTGTCCGCAGCGGTAGGCTTCGTCGAGATCGACCGTCGAGGCGTAAGCCATCGAGTGTCGCTGGTCGGTGCCTGAGACGTTGCCACGGGCCGCTCCCTTGGTGGCCAACCCGCGCTCGTTGAGGTAGTTGACCACAATCTGCGCGACCGTGAGCCGGCTGGAACTGAAGGAAGTATGCCCGAAGGCGTCGCGGACTTCACCCACATCGCCGACATCGAAACCTTCGCTGACCACCACCAGACAACGACCGTCTTTCTTGAGTTGGTCGTTTACCTGATCGGCCAACTGTTCCATCGGGCAGTGGCGCTCGGCCAAGTAGATCTGCAGCGGTAGTTCGCGATTTGGGTCGGCCAAGCGAGCGGCGGCGGGGATGAAGCCGATCTTGCGGCCCATGGCTTGCATGACCAACACGGGATCGGCCGGGCAAGAACCGGCGTTTTCCTGATTGGCGTTTTGCACCATGTGTAACCAGTACTTGGCCACTGAGCCGTAGCCGGGGGTGTGGTCGATGAGCTTGAATTCGCTGTCGCCGACGTCGTTGTCGATCGTCTTCGGCACGCCGACGGCTACCAGGTCGAGGCCTTGCTTGTGGGCGAGGTCGGCGATCTTGTTGGCGGTGTCCATCGAGTCGTTGCCGCCGATATACAGGAAATAGCCAACATCGTGGGCTTTGAAGACTTCGATCACGCGTTGGAAGTCTTCGTCTTGCCCGGCCTTGAGTTTGTAGCGGCAGGTGCCGATGGAGCCGGCGGTGGGGGTGTAGCGGAGCAGGGCCACCTCGGCGGGGTCTTGAGAGGTGAGGTCGAGCAGTTCTTCTTTGAGAACGCCCTCGATGCCGTGCCGGGCCCCGTAGACGGTTTCGATCTCCGCCATCTCGCGGGCGGTTTCGATGATGCCGCGGAGGCTGCTGTTGATAACGTGCGTGGGTCCGCCGCTTTGTGCGACGACCATGTTGCGTGGTTTGCTCATCTTCGCCTGGTGTGGTTTTCGCTTGTCCGAAGTGCTTAGCGGGTCGAATTTTAACGGCCCACCGGCGGGCTCGCAATTACCCCCGTTGCGTCTTCCCGGCGGCCGTGCATCCGTCGAAATCGTTACCGCCGGACCGGGATTCACAATCATTTCACAATCGAAGCGGCCGAAACCCCGGGTGGCAATCTATCTTTTGGATACTTCCCACCCTGCGCGATCCCGCCAACGCCAGCCCTCACGCTGCATAACCCTCCTGATTCGCCCGCCTAAGTCAGATGACCGCACCTTCGGTTGAGTACGCATCCGTGTCGCCCGAGCAGTTTCGCCGCTTGGCGTATTGCATTGTGGCGTTCTCGGCTGTGGTGGTGGTGGGAACGATGGGGTTCTACTTCATCGAGGGCAACTGGACCGTGTGGGATGCATTGTTCTTCACGCTGATCACGGTCACCACCGTGGGCTACGGCGATGAAAACATCTCGGTCGCCAGCGAACGCTTCGCTGTGTTGTTGCTGATCGTGGGGATCGGCACGGCCACTTATACCTTTAGCAGCCTGATGCAGGTTGCCGTCGGATGCCAACTGGCCTGGAAAGCGAAAATGCAAAAACGCATCAATCACCTGCGCGACCACGTCATCGTGTGCGGCTTTGGTCGCATGGGAAAATACATCTGCGAACAGCTTCGCGAAGGCTCGGTGCCGACGGTGGTGATCGAACATACCGAGACCGGCTATCTCACGGCGGTTGAAATGGGCTACATGGCCGTGCACGGGTGTGCGACCGAAGACCAGACTCTGATTGATGCCGGAGTGCAGCGGGCACGCGGGGTAATCTGTGTGGTGGATTCCGATGCTGAGAATATCGTAATAACGCTGAGTGCGCGGGAGCTGAACCGCGACTTGTTCATCGCAAGACGGGCCGATGGGGAATCGGTCGCCCATAAGATCGAACGAGCGGGAGCCTCGCTGGTGGTGTCGCCGCACATTACGGCCGGTCACAACATTGCTACGGCGGTGTTGCAACCGCATCTGGCCGAACTCATGCGGCATACGCAGCACCGTATGTCGAGCTTCGAGATGAGCGAAGTCACTGTAGAGCCGGGCTCGCCGCTGGAGAACCTCACGGGCGAGGAGTACGGACGCTCGGAAGAGAACATTGTGTTTGTTGCCGTGAAAAAGCCGAACGGCGAATTAAGGCTCCGCCCACGAGGTGCAACGCGGTTCGTGGCGAACGACGTCGTCCTGGTGGCCGGGCCGGCGGAAGATCTGGCTCGCATGCACAAGATGGGACAGCCGACCGGGAGGGCAAAGCCAGGACCGCCAGCGAACGAGCTATTTCCCGACGTTGATATCACTGAGCAGGCTGAACCGATCGTGGTCTGAAGCCGTGACTAGAAGCATTGTGAAGCTGGTCCGTGCGGATTTCTCTATGTCCGCTAAGCAATCAAGCTTGCTCGCAGAGCCTGCCCTTCTTGTGGTTTCTTCTCTACCCCAATCGTGCTGAACTGTGGACGGCACAATTCGCCTGGTGCTATGCGGCGTGTTATGCTGCGAGGGCTTTGTGGCTATCGACTAGCCTGGCATTAGGGCGAATTCTTGGGGCGCCTTTGGAGAACCACCATGCGTTTTGCGCGGAAGCAGTTGGTTGCGTTCACACTTGTGATGTTCGCAGTCGTGGGAGTTGCCTCGCCAGGGTTTGCTCAGCAGCCAGTCACCGCGGTTTTGAACGATGGCGTGGTGGAGCTGGATGCCACGTTGGTCGATGGTGAGCACCTCTGGGTGGCGGCTGGGGATGTGAAGCGAATCAATGGGTTTGAGCCGAAACCTGAGGGGTTCTGCTCGGCTGATATCTGTATTCCTTTCCCCAAGACCGACGAATGGGTGCGGACACTCGACGAGCGACCTTATTACTGCGTAACCCGCTTTGCCGAGAAGATTGATCAACCGGTGGTGGCCGACGCCGAACGGGGCGTGTGGGGGTTTGGTACGGTTCCCTTGCTGCAGCAGGAACTGTTCACCGAGGCGGTTGCTCCGGACTTCGCACTTCGCGATCGTGAAGACAACCTGGTGCGGCTGTCTGATTTCCGTGGCAAGAAGGTGCTACTGCTTACGTGGGCCTCGTGGTGAGGTTGCAGCCTCGATCTGCCCGGGTGGCAGAAGATTTACGAGGACTTGAAGGACCAGAATTTCGAGATCGTCGCCGCGGCGCAAGACACCGGGGGCGAGGAGGCCGCGGGCAAGTTCTACGACCGCGCGAAGGCCACGTTCACGACGTTGCTCGACCCGCAGCATAGGGTGAGCACGCTGTATCACATGATCAACGTGCCCACCGGCGTGTGGATCGACGAAGAGGGCCGCATCGTGCGTCCGCCGGAGGTGGCCTACTCGAAGGAGCAGAAGGTGCTCGGGCAAACGATCGGCGACGATCGCTACATCGAGGGCCTGTACGACTGGGTGGCCAACGGAGCCGACAGCGAGTACGTGGTGCCGCTGGAGAAGTTGACCGAGAAGTTGGCGGTTGTCGACCCGAAGCTGCTGCTGGCAGACACGCACTTCAAGCTGGCCGTGTACTATCACGAGCAGGGGAACGAAGCGGCGGCCGCAGAGCACTGGCAGGAGGCTCAGCGGCTGAACCCCGACAGTTGGAACTACCATCGCCAACAGTGGTCGTTCGAGCCGAGGACGTCGCTCCAGAAGTGGTTCGAGAAATTCCAGAAGCTGGACGGTGAGCCGTATTACGCCCCGCTCGATCTTCCGCCCGCGGAAAATTAACGGCCCACTTAGAAGCCCATCTGCGGCAAGAAGTCGCTTTGCAAGCAAGAGAAAGAGGCGCCGGCCGGATTCGAACCGGCGATGGCGGATTTGCAATCCGCTGCCTTAGCCACTTGGCCACGGCGCCTTGTTGGATCTGCAGTGCAGAGGGTTTTGGGGCATTTCCCGTCAGAACGACGCGAATTCCCGCCTATTAGTTCGCGATTTCCTGTCGGCCGGGTAACTCCAGCAGCAGAATAACCTGCGAAGCCCCCCCAACTTACCGAAGGACGCGAGAGGCGGCAAGACCGATGTGGGGCGTTCCATCATCAGCCAGCGTCAGTCAGCTAGGAGCGGATACAGGGGGCCGTCGTAGCACCATGTTCTTACGATCAACTCGCTTACAACCTCCTTAATATTCATTGCTTCCTTGTGCCCAAAATGGCTCGGCAAGGAATAACGACCTTCAAAAATCTTACCCTTCGCTCGCCTCACGTAGGTCAAGGAATGCTTCTCAATATTGCACTTCACGTCATGGAGCAGTTCCTCGGTACCATCACGGTGAGTCAGAATGAGTCGAAGCCAATAATAACGCTCCCCCATATCACATTTGTGCATGCTGGAACGCAGGGTCAGTTTGGCTCCCAAGGGCAACCTGCTATCTCCTTTTGCACTTGGCTGATTCAAATGATTGTGTGTCGGGTTTGAAGTGTTCAAGGTAGTGCTCATTGATCGCTCGCCTCCGACTACTCTGAATATATCCTACGAGCGATTCTCTCATGGCACCGATCATTCACGCAACCGCTGAGTGTTTCACCCCTTCATTGATTCTGATGGCTCGCCGGCGTTCGCTTCATAGACTCCACAATCCGCTCGGCGATCTCTTCCCCCTTGTCTTCTTGCAGAAAATGGCCGCCGCCTTCGATGGTGATTTCGGGTTGGTCTTGGGCTCCGGGAATGTGGCTGCGGAAGAAGCGGTCGCCGCCGCGGATGATGGGGTCGCCGTCGGAGCGGCCGAAGCCGATGAGCCCGGGCTCGACGGCTCGCCATGCAGGCAGAGGATAACTTTGCCCTGTCCTGCGTCGATGCAATGCATCTGCATCCCATCCACGTCGACATTGTTCGGCGGAAAGGAAAAATCGGTCAGGTTGTCGAAACGATCGTCTGGCGTACGGATGACTATTCTCCCATATCACCGAAGAACCGGAGGGGAGAAAGAACCGCAGGGAGGCTTGCCACATACCTACAGCGTTCCTGAACATTGCAAATCATTCTGGTCAGGTCGATCATTGATACTGCAAGGCAGCACACTACTAGTTCGCCCGTGGCTGAGCTAAAACAGGGCTAACCTCGCTTTCCTGATCTAGTAGCAGCTACATTTCAGGACAATCAACAGGCGTAAGTCAGCCACTAAAACGCGATGGAGTCAGGCACCAGTATGAAACAGGAACCCAAGCAAATTGAATGGTCGTGGATTTACCTCGTCCTTCTGCTGTTGCTGACTGTGGTGGTGATGTGTCTACCCTATGCTGCCCGCCACTACCATTGGAGGTATAGCGCGAATTGGTTCTTGATCGAAGATGGTCCCTACGAGTCGCTGGGAGCCGTGGCCATTCTGACTGCCCTATTATTGTTTTGCTGGTCGTGTGTAACTCTCATCTCTCGTCCCCTTGGTCAGCGTGCAAGGGCTACTGAAGACACAGTGAACGAGTCCGCAAATACTAAACACATCTTCTCAGCGAGGCTTGGACTAATTGCCTTAAACCTGGGATGGGCAGTGTTGAGTTTGTTTACGTTGGGGGAAGAAATCAATTGGGGAGAGCGTCTTCTCTCTTTCCGGGCCCCAGAATGGTTCCTTAGTCATAGTTCGACGGGTGAATTCAATCTCCACAATCTTGAGATTGTGGTTGGTCACTATGATGTGTCGCCCATGCAAATTGCATGGAACGGAACGATGTTATTTTGGATGTGTGTCATGCCGTTGTTTGCCATCATGATGCCGAGGTTAAGACAGGCTCTTCTGCTTCGAGGACTAATCTTCCCAAGCATTCCTATTGCCTTGGCAATGCTTATGGCGCAGTTGATTTCCCTATTCACAACCCAAGGGCTATCAGATCTTCAATCTTGGGCAGGGCAGCTCAGTTCGGAAGTGATGGAAACACAGTATGAATTGATGATCTTTTTCTATGCATGCGAAGTTTATCGCCATGTTGCTCACCTTTATAGAGTTCGAATCGGGGCTGGCAGGGTGCTCGCAGTCGCGTCGCTGCCCATGGCGCTATCTCTGATTCTGTTGCTTGGAATTCCTTCCACCGAAGAGGCAACTGAGGAACGCGACATGTCCAAGATGTCGCTCTTCATGGGAAATCGATATCGAAGCCAGGGGGAGATAGAGCTAGCGATCGCGGAGTACAAAAAGGCTATTGAATTCTTCCAAAACAACCATTACGCACATCGAGCCCTTGGAGAAATCTATCTCGAGCAAGGTCAACCGGCTATGGCGGCTGTCTATTTTGATCATCTTGCAGCTATCCTGATGACGGATTCAGAGCCATATATCCTGCTTGGAACCGCGTTATCGGAGTCGAGCAACATCGAGGCTGCGAATCAATGCTTTCGAATTGCTGTCGAACTTTCACCCGAGAGTGCCAAAGCTCTGCTAGCTCTTAGTGAGTTTCAACTTGATACGAATCAGGTCGAGGCTGCAAGAAACACTCTTAACCAGGTTCTACGCCTGGATCCAGAGAATAGGAAAGCGAAAACCCTGCTAGAACGACTGCTTAGAGTTTCCCAGTGAAGCCAGGCGGTCTGCGTGGTCCCTGTTCAATTTGGCTCCCATCTCTGCGTAGAACCGAGATCCTACGAATAGAATCTTGACCCTCAGCTCTCGATCAAACTAGTCAACGTGGGAGAGCTTCACCAAAAACCTACAATCACATTTGAATCACTCAGTGGAGCTGCTACTCTGCCCAAGCGGCGTCCGCTTAATGAACTCCACGATCTGCTTGGCGATCTCTTCGCCTTTGTCTTCTTGCAGGAAGTGGCCGCCGCCTTCGATGGTGATTTCGGGTTGGTCTTGGGCTCCGGGGATGTGGCTGCGGAAGAAGCGGTCGCCGCCGCGGGTGATGGGGTCGCCGTCGGAGAACATCACCTGCACGGGCTTGGTCCACTTGCTCAGCACTTCGAGGGCGCGGCGGTTGGGTTCGGAGGCGGGGTCGTCGGGCGTAATGGGCACCAGCAGCGGGAAAGCGGCCACGCCGGCTTTGTAGGTGGCGTCGGGGAAGGGGGCTTCGTAGGCGGCCACCACCGCAGGGTCGGTGTCTTCGCCGGCGGCGAACGTGCGCTGCATGATGAAGCCGACTGGGAGGTCGGGATTGTTGCGGGCGAACTCGCGCCAGGTCATAAACGCGTCGCTCATCTTCTGATCGCCGGTGGGGAGGCCTGTGTTCATGATGACCAGTCGGGCGAAACGATCGGTGTGTTCTGCAGCGAGCCGGAGGCCGATCAGCCCACCCCAGTCTTGGCACACCAGCGTGATGTCGGTCAGCCCTACGGCGTCGAGTAGGCCCATCATCGTGTCGCAGTGCATCTGGTAGGAGTACTCTTCGATCTCGGTGTATTTGTCGGAGCGACCGAAGCCGATGAAGTCGGGCGCGACGACGCGGTGCTTCGCGCTGAGGATGGGGATCATCTTGCGATAGAGGTACGACCACGACGGCTCGCCATGCAGGCAAAGGATGACTTCGCCTTGCCCTTCGTCGATGTAATGCATCTGCATCCCGTCCACGTCGACGTAGTTCGGCGGAAAGGGAAAGTCGGGCAGGTTGTCGAAACGATCGTCGGGCGTACGGATGACCGGCATTGCGGTTCCTTTATCGAAAGGAGGGGCACCTCGCGGACGTATGGCGGGTGCCGATTAGGTGAAAGGATGAGTGCCGTTTGAACGCCCGATACCTTGCCATATGGGACGAGTGGATGCAAGGAAACGTGGGGCGAGGGAAAAGCCGTGGCCCTCTGGCGGTTGCGCCGCACCGGATCGAGATACGGAAATACCCGGGATGGTGACTGAACCATCGCTACAAAGGCGGGAGCGTTACCAGCCGACGACGCGATAACTTTGTTTGCCTTCAACGGGGCGGGTGATGGGGGGGCGCATGAGAGGGACCGCGACTTCTTCGGGTCCTTCGGCCGGGGTTTCAACCTCGGGGGTCTCAATCACCTGAGTGGGTTCCGCGGGAGGTGGTGTCTTGCTACGCGGGGGTTCGAAGACGCGTCCCAAACGACTGGTCAAGATGGCGGGCAGCAGGACAAGGTCGCCAACCAGAGCGGCCGCGAACAGCGGGACCATCAACATGCCGAAGCGTTGCGTGGGGGTGAACGTGCTGGCGGCGAACATCAACATGCCCAACCCGGCAATGACGGTGGTTTGGGCCATGGCCGCCGCACAATGCTGATAGGCAAGGTTCGTCGCTGAACGTCGATCGAGCCCCGAAGCCATGCCGCGGCGGAACCAGGTGATGAAGTGGATCGTATCGTCAACCGCCACACCGAGCCCCACGCTGGCCGACATCATCGTGCCGACATCGATCAGCACGCCGGACCACGAAAGGGTACCGAAGACGATGGCCGTGGGGAACAGGTTGGGGATCATCAGCAGCAAGCCGGCGGGGATGCATTTCACGGTGCCAACCACTTGCCACAACAGGGCGACCATTACGACGGCAATCAGGGCGAAGGCCAAACCGTAGCTTTCGAAAAGCCCCTTGAGCAGTTCGTTCTGGGCTTTATAGACCAGCGGTACCACGCCAGTGTAAGTGACATCGACGCCGGCATCATGAGCGTCGGCAATGACCGGGTCGACCGCTTCGCGAAGGTCGTGGACGAAGTGGCTGTAGTCGACATCGGAGAACGCCCCCAGGCGGAGGCTAATGCGATAGAGGACTTCTCCCTGGTCGTAGTCGTTGGCCACGAAGCCTGAGCGGTAGTACTCGTCTTTATGGCGATCGAGTACCGAGTCGACCGAAGCCCTCCACACGAAGCGGGGTGTGCGGCGGGGTTTTTCTAGGCTGGGCGCGAACGTGGCCGCTGAAAGCGATGTATCGACGTCGGCCAAGCTCTCGATCTTCTGACGGACTTGATCCACCAGGACGATCGAATCGAAGAGCCCCAGAGGATGGCCGATGTTGATCGTGGCCCCATCGAGTTCACCCACAGTGGTCATCACCGGCGGGGGCACGTTGTTGTCGAGGGTGATTTGATACTCGCGGCCTGCGTCTGTCTTCTTGAGGCGAACCTTGGGTTCTTTCAACCCGGCCTGGGTAAGGGCATGTGCCAGGTTGGCTGATGTGACATCGTACGGCAGCGGTGCGGTGGCAGCTTTGCCCGAAGGGCCGTCCCACTCGAGTTGGAATGTTCCGCCGGTGGGTTTCCCGTCGATGTTGACTCGTTCTGCCTGCGAAGTGTGAACGACGACTTCCATTGGGACCAAAGCACCAAGGGTCGACTCGAGCCAGCTATAGTCTTGAATAATTTGGGCGTCGTCTTGGAAAAGCTTCATCAGCTTGACGGTGGTCTTCATCTTGTACGCCACTGCGTATCCACAGACCAGCACCAGCGCCACAGAGGTGGTGATAACGATGCCATTGCGCGTGACGATGAGATTGCCGAGACCAACGAAGAACTCTCGAAAGCGGATCGCCAGAGGGCTGGGGGGCTTTTCCTGAACTTCAGCTTTGGCGGTGCTGGGAGGCCAGTACGTGAGCCAGGCCGGAAGGAACAGGAAGATCCAGGGCAACGCGGCCATTACGGCCGCGGCCGAGTAGGTACCGAAATTACGAATCGGCACCAAGTCTGAAATGTATAGTGAGGCCAGACCCACCGCAGTGGTGAACGAGGCCAGCGTACAGGGCACGAGACCTTTCCCAACGGCTGCGGCTGCGGCGCTGGCGGCATCGCCCACGTCGAGCGAATCGCGCCAGTAGTTCACAATGTGTACGGCAGCGGCAATCGTGAGCATGTACACCAAGGTGGGCATACTCAGCAGGATGGCGTCGACTTTGCCGTGGGTGTAGTGGACGATGGCCAACGAGGTGGCCTGACTGAACATGGCCGTGAAGAACACGTAGCAAGTCAGTTTCCAGTCGCGGAAGATGACCAGGCACAGCAGCAAGCCCACGCCGTAAGACAAGATGGCGAGTCGGGCGAGGGTGCGTTGTCCTTCGAGGTCGATGGCCACGTTATCCACTGGCGGGCCACCCATGCGGAGTGCCTCGGCGGGGATGGCACATTGATTGACGGCCAGTTCCTGAATGCGGGCCAGCGTGGTCGCCAAACGTTTTTCGTAGCTGCCGTAATTCGACAGCGTGACCATCATGCCAGTCTGGCGAGCCGGCGGGGGTCCCGACCAGTTCCAGGAGAACGGCTCGTTGCGTTCTGTAGTTTGGATCGCAAGCGTTCCGCTGGGGGCGTTGCGGTAAGTGTCGACAAGAGCTTTGTGGGCCGCCTCGAGGTTATCGGTCGGGGTGCCATTGATTTCCCGAACCACTAGGCCGGGATGCAAACCCGCAAGCTTCGCGGGAGAATCCGGCTCGACCTTGGTGATTACCGGGTAGCCCTCGTCGTTGGCCTTCAGCTGCATACCGTGAATGTAGCCGGGTCCGACGAGCGAACCTTCGAGCCGGCGCAGCGCGGCGGAGCGGGGGATGTCGAGCGGCTCGCTCGTGAGTTGAGCAATTAGTTCAGGGCCGGTGACGACCTTCTTGAACAACGGGTGCTCGCTGTCGTCGGAACGAATTTTGGCGGCCAGCATCGGCAATCGCGGATCGTCGAGCCGACAATCGGTCCAGCTTACGATGACGACCTGATCGCTACCGCTGTTGAACTTGGAAATGTACCACTGCAGATCGATCGTCTCTTGGTACGAAGCGGGCAGCCAATCTTGCACGTCGTTGGTGTTGCTGTTCACCGCCCGAATGCTGCCGGCAACGATCAAGGGCAACACGGCGAAGAACGCGCAGATGATCCAAAAACTGCGGCGCCGAAGCAGTCGGGTGTAAAGATCTCGGAATGTTTGCATCAATTGCCGAGCCTTGGAGAGTGGCGCCGGATGTTACGTCTAGCGACGCCGTGCCGGCATTGCATTGCCGTCGCGTCTATATGGAATCGGCATCCTAGTCGCTACGTCTGGACTCATCGAACCCGCGATCGCTGAACTTCGCCCAGTCGCAAAGGTCCAACATATATACAAATCAATCCGAAAGCATAGTGGTCGGCGGGCATTCACGCTAGCACCACAGCAAGTTGCTGCCATTTAAGCTGCGGCAGCCGCGGCGCGGGCTTGGGCCTTCTCTTCCCAGTTGGCCACACAGGCCGCCAGGGCCATATCGCCCGTGACGTTGAGCGTTGTACGACACATGTCGAGCAGACGGTCGATGCCGAGAATGATAGCAATGCCCTCAGGCTGGACTCCGACCGTTTGTAAAAGAATGACGATTAGGGGAATTGATCCGCCAGGCACTCCGGCGGTTCCCACACCAGCCAGAACCGACATGAGTACGACGGTGGTTTGCTGCACTAGCGTAAGTTCAACCCCGAACACCTGCGCAAGGAACAGCACAACCACTCCCTCATAAAGGGCGGTACCGTTCTGATTCGCAGTGGCCCCCACGGTTAGCACGAAACGCGAAATGGCGGGAGGAATGTTGAGATCTTCTTGCGCCACACGAAGCGCGGTGGGAAGCGTGGCGTTGGAAGACGAAGTTCCAAAGGCCATAAGAATGGCTTCCGATGCATCACGAAAAAACTGAACCGGGTTGCGACCGGCTAGAAGCCAGAGCGCCAACGAATAGACGACGAACATCTGAATGGCCAACCCACCGACGACGGTAATCACAAACCAAACCAGGCTGATCAGAATGTCGCCACCCAGTTTGGCGGTGAGTGCGAATATGAGGCAGCCGACGCAGAACGGAGCCAGCCGCATCGCCATGCCAATGATGATCATGGTGGTTTCGAAAAGGCCCTCCATGAAGTGCACCAACCCACGCGCTCGCTCCTCGGGCACCATCGAAAGGGCGATCCCGAAGATAAGTGCGAAGAACATGATGGCGAGCATGCCATTGCCAGGGGAAGTTCCGTCGAGCGCGCCCACGGCTTCTTGAATTGGGTTCTCGGGGATCATATCGAGCAGAATCCGCGGCAGCGGCTTGGCATCTTCTGCGCGCCCGATGGCTTGTTGGGTGGTATCGGTATAGCCGGCCTCTAGGGTTGCGCGTTGTTCGTCGGTGACCCCAGCACCGGGGCGAATGAGATTGACCATCGTTAGCCCGATGACCACGGATATCCCGGACAGCAATATAGTGAATAGCAGCGAGATGATACCGACCCGCCCCAGGCGCGATATATCGCCGAAACCCATCACGCCGAGTACCAGGGCGGAAAAGACCAGCGGTAGTACGACCATCAACACCAGTCGCAAAAAGACGCGACCCAGGGGTTCGGCAATGTTGTTGGCGAAGGCTTCTAACCGGTCGTCAACGCCGTCGTTGTTCTTGTCTAATTCGGCACGTAGCTGAGGATCCTCCGGCAAGCGAAAGCCGATGTTGCATGCGATTCCGAGCGTGGCGCCGATGACTAGCCCGATGAGAATCTTGACGTGCAGCGGGCGTCCCTTGCCGCTCGATTTAAGGTTGGCCTCTTCCTCAATCGACATTTCATGTTCGTTGGGGAGCGGTTCGTTGGTGTCGTTTGTCATCGGCTGTGTTCTTCTGGTATGGGGTTCGCGCGATGATGCCCGCCCCAGTGGCCACGGCACCGTGAGGATTTTCACCGATTGTGGCGGTGTGCAGAAAAAACACAACCTTGATTGGGAAACAACACGAAACGGGAGTGCACCTGGAACTTGCATGCGACCTACGGGATTGCTTGTATGAGTCCTTGGCTCGCGCTAGAATGCCTCTCGAACTACTGCCCACCTTCACGCACCCCAGGATGGGGCGATGAGCCAGAGCCCGCCTAATTCGAAACGCAAGCTCGATCCCGTCTTCATTCATGCACGGCGAGAGGCGATCGTTATCTTTCTGCTGTGGGTGATATGCATGGTGTGGACCACCACCGTGTATTGGACTTGGGGGCATGGTCGAGCCGCCGAAGACGTCGAACTGTGGTGGGGTCTGCCCGATTGGGTCTTTGTTGGAGTGGTCGCCCCCTGGTTGGTCGTCGATGTTATTTCGGTCTGGTTTTGTTTCGTCTTAATGAAGGACGACGACCTGGGCGAAGCCAACGAGGGGCTCGATCTCGACGAAGAAATTGCCGCGATGCATCACGACGAGCAGGGCCGTGTGAATGAGTGATCTAAGCACGGAATCTCTCGGCCTGATCGTCGCTCAGATCGACGGCGTGGGCTCGAACTCGGCACTGGTCACCTTTCTGCTTTATACGTTAGCTGTATTCGGCATCGCCTGGCTCTCGAACCGCCTGCGGCAGTCGAAGAGTTTTCTGAGCGAGTATTTTCTCGGCAGCCGTAGCTTGGGAGTGTGGGCGTTTGCCTTGACGTTTGCCGCCACGAGTGCGTCTGGTGGCAGTTTTACGGGCTTTCCGTCGAAGATCTACTCGCACGGCTGGGTGCTGGCAGTGTGGATTGCCAGTTACATGATTGTGCCGATCTGCACGATGGGTTTGTTGGCCAAACGTATCAACCAGGTAGCGCGGAAGAGCGGTGCGATTACCGTGCCCGATGTGCTGCGTGACCGGTTCAACAGTGCCACACTGGGGTTGATGGCAACGCTGCTGATCGTGTTCTTCATGGCCTTCAACCTAGTCGCGCAGTTCAAAGCCGGCAGCTTGATCTTGCGAACGCTGCTGGCCGACGTGCCGATGTTCTCCGATGCGGCAAGAGCGTTGGGGCGCCTGACGACAGGCACTTTCTTGGCAAGCCCTGAAGGACATGCTTACGAGCTATGCCTGCTGTCTTTCGCGGCCGCTGTGATTATCTATACGACATACGGTGGCTTTCACGCGGTGGTTTGGACCGACGTGATGCAAGGTGTGGTGATGGTGGTCGGCGTCCTGATCCTGCTCCCGTTGGCGTTAAGCCAGGTTGGTGGTTTGAAGAGTGCCAATGAACAGCTTCGCGAGATGACGCCACCTCGACTCGGTAGCGCCAAAGTGGTTCTCGCAGAACCGGCGAAAGAGAACGTGACGATTCGACCGGCCTCGTTGTTTCGCGTTGACGACGATTCGAGTCAGACCGGGAAGCCGCGGATGCTGCGAACCTCGAAGACGGCCGTCATCCCGAAGGGTGAACGCTCTTCGGCAGAAGTTCCGATATTGGAATTCACGAGTCCGGCCGAGATCGATCGGATTAATGACGCGTTCGAACAGCAACAGGCCGACGGCTCTTTCCCGTTGGCCGATCTCGAACTGGTGGAAATGAACGACTACGTCTCAGGGGCAAATCAGCCGGGCGCCTACCTGGTTGGCCCTGGCCCTGAAGCAGAGAAAGCCACGGGGTTCTTACCGCTTAGCTTGGCCGTTTCGTTCTTTGTTATGTGGGCCATTTCGGGAGCTGGTCAGCCAAGCAACATGGTGCGGTTGATGGCCTTCAACTCGACGAACACACTGAGGCGAGCGATTTTCACCGTGTCGATCTATTACACGATGATCTATCTGCCGCTGGTCATCATTTTTTGCTGTGCACGAATCTTCCTGCCAGGCATGGAACAAGAGTCGGACCGCATCATGCCGGCGGCGGCCGTAACGTTGACGGCCAACGCGGGCTGGGCGTGGCTAGGGGGACTGTTGTTAGCGGCCCCGTTCGCGGCGGTTATGTCGACCGTTGATAGTTTCCTGCTGATGATCTCTTCGGCTCTGGTTCGTGATGTGTATCAGCGGAACATCAATCCGGAAGTCTCTGAAGTTAACATCAAACGCATGAGCTACACGGTGACCTGTGTGGTCGGGGTGGCAGCCATGATAGGAGCGATGCACCCTCCACAATTCTTGCAAGACATCATCGTGTACACGGGAAGTGGACTGGCCGCTTGCTTCCTGGTTCCTGTCACACTGGCTTTGTACTGGCCTCGCTGTAACGCCGCTGGGGCCATCGCCGGGATGGCCGGAGGTTTCGGAGTGCACTTGGCCCTGTACCTCAGTGGCTGGCAGATGTTCGGCACGTTTCGTGCCTATACGCCTCTGGGCGTCGATCCGATTATTTGGGGGCTGGTTGGGTCCCTGGCTATCGCTGTGGCGACGACGCGCCTTACGGCCCCGCCCGATGAGCGGTTGGTTAATCGCTACTTCTATGTCGATGCGGAACCGGCCTCTACCTCAGCCTCCAGTTGAGGCCTTTTTTAACGCTCCAAAGCTCCCTCCAGCCGTCACAGACGGGGAAATTCCCCAAATTGGGTTCCCCAGCTGGAATTACAGTCTCAGAGGGCTACGATACTATACAGTCGAGGTACACAGCCGGTCGCGGGCCGGATTGTGGGAGAACGGTCGGACACCTATTACGTGGAGAATTCATCAATGAATCGCCGCATTTTGCTAGCCATCACCCTTAGTTGCTTCGCTTTGACCACGACATCGGCAGCCATGGCCGATGCACCTGCTAAGAAGAAAAAAGCCAAAGGTCCTGTGTACGCTGTGTGTGTAATTATGCCGGTCGACAACAACGGTGTCGGCGGAGTACTGCACTTCGTGCAGAAAGGTAAGAAGGTTCGCATTACCGGCGAGGTCACAGGACTCGCCCCCGGCGATCACGGTTTTCACGTGCATGAGTTTGGCGATGTCAGCGACTTGGAAGCCGGAAAGAGTGCCGGCGGCCATTACAATCCTGAAGGTGCCATGCACGGTCGGCCCAGCGATGCGGATCGTCACGTAGGCGACCTGGGGAACATCACGGCCAATGATGAAGGAGTAGCCAAAGTCGACATCACCGATAGTGTCATCTCGCTACGTGGGCCCCAGTCGGTCATCGGTCGTTCGATTATGGTTCACGCCGACCCCGATGATTTCGGTCAGCCCACCGGCAACGCCGGCGCTCGGGTCGGTTTCGGAGTCATCGGCATCGCTGCCGCACCCTCGGGTTCGTAGTCATCGCTAACGGGAAACCGCTTGATTTCCCGGCCGCAGATCACAGATAAACGCGAACGCGCACCTGGACCACCATTTGTTCCAGGTGCGCGTTTTTTTGTGCGGTGAGAGCTATGCTCTACTTACGTTCCAATTCGGCGAGGTAGATGGCGGTGATGGTCTTTCCGTCGGCGTCTTTTTCGTGGCTGGAGTAGTATGAGACGACCGCGTGGTTGTCATCGAGCGTGACGAAGCCTGGGTACGAGTTGTCGCCGCCGCTGGGAAGTTCGGCGAATTCGTGCAGTTGATCGTCAATTAGCCAGCAGAGTGACGTTTTTGCTGATCCGGAAAGAGTTGATCGTCCGCCGACGAGTGTGTCGTCGCCCCAACGAACGAGCAGGGGGCCGCCAATGTAGCGGTCGAGCGTGGTTCGCTGCCATGTTTCGTAGGGAGCTTGCGAACGGCAGATTTCGGCCGGTCGTCCTCCACCACTGCGGGCCACCGCGAGGATTGAACCATCGGCTTCGAACAAGAAGGCGGTCTCATCGCCGAAGCGTTCTTGAAACAAGCCAACCTTGTGCCACACCAGCCCGTCCTCGCTCTCGAGCAGGGCCGACTCGATGAGTGCATCGCGCTCGGCACGGGATGTTGTTTCGGCAAACAGATTCTTTCGCCGCCCGCAGAGATAGGCCTTACCGTCGTGAGCGGCGGCCCGCCACACATAGTGACCGTAGGTGCCTTCAAGCATTTCGGGCCCGTGCCAGGTTTCGCCATCTTCAGACCATGCGGCGAAACCAAGGTGCTTGTTCATTTCGTAGTGCTCGGGGGCTGAGTCGCCACAATACCAGGCACCGGTGTAGATGAAGAGCTTATCGTTGAAGATCAGGAAGTGCGGATCACGCACGTCGCGTTTGGGAACGCTGAAACGGAAGACTTCGTCCCAGGTCTTTGTGTCGTCACTCGCAAGAACAATGATCGACGATGTCGGGTTCACACCATGCCCGTCGGGGCAACTGCGAAAGGTAAGGAAGTAACGATCGCGGTAACGACACAGGTCGGTGAACGCGTTGTGCTCGCCGTTATCGAACACCTTACGAATCGAGGTGACTTCGATCTTCGGTAAGGTTGGCTCTTCGCCAAAGACATGCGCCGACCCCACCGTAATGCCTACTGCGAGAGTACAAAGAAACGGTGCCATTAAGTGCAATCGCATGTAAAACCTCGCAATCTTGTCATTTGAGCGTCCCGCTGAGCAATAAGCACTACTTATGTTCATCCTGATTTTGCTGGCAGCGCCATCCTGAAATGCGATCCCGATACTACACCAAACTCCAAGCAACTCAACGGATGGCGGTTTGCCACCAATGTTCAGCTTTCCGAATGTTAAGGTTCAAATCTTCGGCCGCGCATGTCCCCTTCCGCAGATGGGGAAAGAAAGCTAGGGTGAAGTGTCGGGCTTCCGTCTCAGAACAAGGAAAAAGTGAGAGGCTCACCATGTCGTACACGATCACCGAGTACTTGGGTGATGGGATTTCTGCCGAGCTGGCTGAGTCGGTTCGAACGCTGATCTCGGCCCTTCCGTTCGAAATTCATCTCGAACCCATCGACCTGAGTTTGGCCAATCGGAATAGTCGTGGCATCGAGTTGTTCGACGAAGCCGAAGATTCGATTCGCAAGAACCGTTTCGCACTGAAATACCCGACCACCACCGAAGGACAAAGCCCCAACGCCATCTTGCGACAGCGATGCCGGTTCTCAGTGATCCATCGCCCGGTATCGACGTTGCCGGCCGTGCCAACCAACTTCCGACGTGAGCTGGATCTGAACGTCGTGCGCGTGGCACGTGGTGGCACCTACGACGATCCCGGTCGAGCGATTGGTCGCGACGTGGCGGTGAGCCTGAGAATTGTGGAGCGGCAGGTTTGCTGGGAAGCTGCCCACTATGCGTTCACCTTGGCCCGACGTTTGGGCACGCATGTGACCAGCGCCTCGAAGCATACGATTCAAGCCGCCACCGACGGGCTGTTCGAAATCGTGGTGCACGAGGTTTCTCGCGACTTCAGCGATGTGCGAAAGCAGGAAGAACTGTTCGACGCACTGCTGGCCAAGATTGTGATGCGGCCCGAGCAGTTCAATGTGGTACTGGTGCTGAACGAGTACGGCGACTTCCTCAGCGATATGGCCTGTGGCCTGGCGGGCTCGATGGGAATCGGAGCTAGCGCCAATCTCAGCTTCACGCCCGAAGGCGAGGTCGAACTGGCCATGTTCGACCCCGCAGGCGGCACCGCGCCCGACATTGCCGGGCGCAATCTGGTAAACCCCACGGCCATCTTCTTGGCCGTGGCCATGATGCTGGACGAGCTGGGGGAACACCCCTCGGGAACCGCTGTTCGCGAAGCTGTGGTCGAGAACCTTCAACAAGGCCACACCACGGCCGATCTCGGCGGCAAGCTTTCAACCACCGAGTTCAGCCAAAGGGTAGCAGACTCAGTCGCCGAGCACTTGAAGGCCGTTACCACGTAAGGTGATGCGAAGATACTAGCGACGAAGGATCACTTCTTCTTCGACGTCGACATCGCGAATCACCACAATCGGGGCCGACTCGGTCCCATACCACTGCGACGGATCCCAGTTGCCCGAGGTCCACACCGGTGAGTAGGTTCCCATGAATGGCGTGGTCGACGCCATCGGTCGGGCGTTGGAAATGCCAAACCACTTCGACGAGGCCAACCGCCGTTGACGTTGGGCGGCGCGGAATTCGGCCTTAGCACGCACCGAGGCCTTCGGATCGTGGTACTGCTGCATGGCCTGCTCGTAGAACCACATTTGAGCGGTGGGCTGCAGCTCGCCCAACTGAATGGGCGGAGTGCTCTCGCTGTCGTTGCTCTGCGGTTTCTGGGCCGCGGCAGTAGACACGAACAACAAGCTCAATGAGGCCAAGGCGATGGCTTTGTAAATCATGAAACAACTCCCCCCGGATATTGTTGTGTGGGTCTGATGTGCGGGCCGAGACCATGCGGCCGGCAGAGAGGCCGCGCGGGTCGGGCTGTGGCGGTTGCACCGGTTGTGCACCTATAAGCCCTTCGGCCAGAAGGCCAGACGCAGATTAGCGGTGGTTTGAATTCGCACCCGGAGCTAACCGGAAGGTCGCAAATTGCCCGCGAAATGCCGGAAAAACCAAGCTTGTGAAGCCGCGTAAAGTTTGCCGATTACGAGAAACTTGACGCTGAAGCGTGGCCGGGGTTGGACATGCTCAAGCAAAAGTGCGAGCGGGAATCCAGCGATAGGCGATTGGCAGATCGTCTTCCAGGAACTGCTTGAATCCTTGATCGTCTGGAACGACCAGGACGTACAGCAACTCATTCTCTCGCCACACCAACAGCGAGAGGCCCGCGGTGTTGTAGGGGTGAGTGCTGGGTTTGCCGATGGGGATATCGGCGATGGCCTCATCTTTGCCGGTCTGCACGACTAACAAGGTTGCCTGTGCACCATTCTGCGAGGTGAACGAGTAGGCCATTCCGCTACGGCCCAGGAAGTTTTTCAACGGGTTCGCACCCGTGCGGCGAGCACTGACCAGGCTACTCTGCGGAAATTTTTTGGTCAGCCGCTGAAGTTCCTCTGGATTGTCGGCCGCAAATTGAATGGCCGCCTGCTGATTGGCCCAATTGAGTGCCGCGGTGTGTACATCGTCGATGTTCAACGGCGGGGTGGGCTGAAGAAGGCTGGTCAACACAACGACGATGCTGGCCGCGACCGCGATTCCGACCCACCATTTGAGTCCTCGGGTAGGCTTCTCCTGGTCAGCCGGACGAATGACACCTTGGCTTACAGGTTCTGCGGAAACAGCTTCGTCGAAAGCTTCACTACTAAGCGGAGCATTCTGATCGCCAGATTCTTGCTGCAAGCCCGCGAGCAAGCGGTCTGCCAGGCCTTCAGGCACGGGTACATCGGCCAATTGGGCACGGATTTGGCGGTCGAACTTTTGTACGGATTCGAGTCGCTGGCGATCTTCGGGATGGGCTTCCAAGTGGGCGGCCAGAAACTCGAGTTCCGGCTGATCGAAGTCGCGAAGGTCTGCTGAGCCAGCGTGTTCTGCTGGAAGCGAGGCATCTTCCGACGGGGCAGGGCGGCACGCATCGATCGCGTCGCGTATGTGGCGTCGCTGCTCGGGCGATTCGTCGTAGGGGCGTCCGTCGTTCATTTACTTGTTCGAGTGGCTTGCGTGCTCTGTCGGGCCAGCGAGAAGTTCGCGGCTTCATTCGTTACGCAGGACAGGGCACTAAGGGTTTATCTTATTTCCGTGCGACGAGGTGCTTTGGTACTCCTGCTCCAGCAGCTTGGATCGCAAATAACCCTTGCCTCGCGAGAGGCGGCTCATCACCGTGCCAATCGGCACTCCCAGCCGGTCGGCGATCTCGCGGTAGGAACAATCTTCGAAATAGAACATTAGCAGTACGAGCCGGAACTCCTCGGGCAGTTGATTCAGGCTGGTCTGTAGCCGTTCTTCATCAAACGGCCCATCCAGCGGCATCTCCTCGGCAATTTCGTCGACATTCATCTCCAGGTTCGCGGCCGGCACCGGCTGACGGCGACGGAGCGACTTGGAGAAGCAATTTCGCAGAATCGTAAACAACCACCCCCGGGCGGCGTTCTCATCCCGCAATTGATCCAACTTGGTTTGGGCGATGAGAAAGACCTGTTGCGAGAGGTCTTCGGCATCGGCCGCTGAGCCCGTAAGTCGGTACGCATAGCGGTAGACCGACTCGTGATGGTCGCTAACCAGTTGCCGAATGTCCAAACGCATTGGTTCGGTCATCTCCCGCCTTCTGTGTTGAGTCCCCAGGTCCGTCAATTATTCCCGAATCGAAGCTCCCACAGGAGATTTTTTTGCCCACTTCACCCCAGGGAGGGGGAATCTGCTGTATATCGGGCGAGATTACTCGCCGGATATAACGCGTTGTCACCGAAGGTTGTTCGATTCGGGGCAGAAAAAATTCAAAAAAATGGTTCTTCCGGGGAATAAATGCCAGCACCCCGGCATCTTATCCCGTAGACGGACCCTAAGCCATGCATCACCGGCTGTCGGTCATCGGCTGGGCAGGGTGCCAAGCCGACATCCATTTGTAGATTTACGACAACCACAAGAAAGGTCGTAACCATGAAGAAGCTCGCTCTTTTCGCCATGCTGTGCGTCAGCGTCGTTGGATTCAGCATTGGCTGCAGTGACGCCGGCGACACCACGACTCCTCCGGCCGAGAACGGCGCAGCCGCTCCTGCTGAAACGGCCCCGGCCGACGCTCCTGCCGATCCTGCCGCCCCCGCTGAATAAGCTGGACGGCTTTCGGACAGAAAGCAGATTCAAAAGAGAGGTCGCTCAGCACTGGGCGGCCTCTCTTTTTTTGTTTGTTGGGCAGAAGCTGCAATTCATTAGACTAGGTGGGTCAATGTTGGATCGACCGAAGGACTACGCTTACCTCTACCTCGGAATACGAATGTTACTGAGCTGGGGCAAAATCCGCAGGGTGCTTTGGCAGATTCTCACGCTCCCCTTCTACATCCTCTTTTGCCACATATTTATGCTTGGGTTGGACCGCTTTCTGGATCTTCACCCGCGGGTCGACTCGGCTTTGTTATTCTTCTTCCTTGCCGTCTTCATCCCGGGCAGCCTTATTTTCATTGGCTGGCACTTTCGTAAGTTCGGGATGGCCTTCATGGAAGGTATGCGTGAGGCTCAGGCAGAGAAGAACTCGTAGGAAGCTACTGCCCCTTCTTCGGTCTGGGGACCCGAGTTCCGCCTTTACGGCGGCGACCGCGGGGTTTGCGATTACCGGCGGCGCTCTCGGCTTTGACTTCGTGAACGGCTTTGCCGATTGAATCTTTCATCTGCTCGATGCGGTCGCGGAGGGCGGCGGCCCGTTCGAATTCCAGCGCGTCGGCGGCAGCCAGCATCTCGGCTTCGAGTTCCGAGAGATACTCTTCGGTGACGTATTGAGTTTCGTCGGTGCGCCCCACCGCCGCGTTTGCGCTGGCGTGGGCGGCCGCCTCCGACTGGATGCCCGCGCGGATACTTTTGCGGATGGTCTCGGGCGTGATGCCGTGCTCTTGGTTGTACTCCTTCTGGAGTTCGCGACGTCGGGCGGTTTCGTCGATGGCCCTTTGCATCGACTTAGTTACCTTGTCGCCGTACAGAATCACCTTCGCGTTGACGTGTCGCGCCGCACGGCCGATGGTCTGCATCAGTGAAGTTTCGCTGCGGAGAAAGCCTTCCTTGTCGGCATCTAGAATCGCCACCAGCGAGACTTCCGGCAAGTCGAGTCCTTCGCGGAGCAGGTTCACGCCTACGAGAGCCTCGAACTGTCCTTCTCGCAGTTGCTGCAAGAGTTCAACTCGTTCGAAGGCGTCCAGTTCGCTGTGCAGCCACTTGCAGGTTACGCCTTGTTCGTTGAGGTAGAAGGACAAGTCTTCGGCCAATCGTTTTGTGAGCGTAGTGACCAGCACACGTTCGCCGACGGCCGATCGCTTGCGGATTTCTTCCAAGAGATGCGGCACTTGCCCTCGGGCTGGGCTGATCTCGATCACCGGGTCGAGCAGGCCCGTGGGTCGAATCACTTGTTCGACCACCTCACCCCCGGTGGCGTCCAATTCATAGGGCCCCGGCGTGGCCGAAACGTAGATCACTTGGTTGACCCTCTTCTCCCACTCTTCGAATTTGAGTGGGCGATTGTCGAGCGCACATGGTAGCCGGAAACCGTGTTCGACAAGGGTTTTCTTGCGACTGTAGTCGCCGGCGTACATGCCGCCGATTTGCGGAATGGAAACGTGCGATTCGTCAACGAAGAGAAGGTAATCGTCGGGGAAGAAATTGTAGAGTGTATCGGGAGTGGAGCCGACCGGGCGTCCACTGAGCGGGCGGCTGTAGTTTTCGATGCCGGGGCAGTAGCCGACCTCTTCCAACATTTCGATATCGAAACGTGTTCGCGCGGCCAGTCGCTGGGCTTCGAGCATCTTGCCGTGCTCTTTGAAATACTCGAGTTGTTCCTCGAGTTCTTCGCGAATGCTTGCCACGGCGGCCGCGATGCGATCCTCGGGCATGACGAAATGTTTGGCCGGGTAGATGTACAGTTCCTCCGAGTTCCGGATCACCTCGCCGGTGGTGGGATTGATGAGCGAGAGTTGTTCGATCTCGTCACCCCACAACTCGATGCGAAGTGCGAACTCCTCGTACGAGGGCCATACTTCGACGCAATCGCCGCGAACACGGAACTTGCCGCGGGAGAAGTCGACGTCGTTTCGCTGGTATTGGATATCGACTAGCTTTCGCAGGACTTCGTCGCGATCGATGGTGCCGCCAACCTTAAGTGAGACCATCATCGAACGATAGTCGTCTGGCGAGCCTAAGCCGTAGATGCAGGAAACGCTGGCCACGATGATCACGTCGCGGCGGCTTACCAACGCGCTGGTGGTCGCGAGCCTCAGGCGGTCAATCTCTTCGTTGATCGAGGCATCTTTCTCGATGTAGATATCCCGCTGGGGGATGTAGGCCTCTGGCTGGTAGTAGTCGTAGTAGCTGACAAAGTAACAAACGGCGTTGTCAGGGAAGAACTCGCGAAACTCGCCATAGAGTTGGGCCGCCAACGTTTTATTGTGCGACATCACCAGCGCCGGCCGTTGCAGGTTCTGGATGATGTTGGCCATGGTGAACGTCTTACCGGAGCCGGTGACGCCCATCAGGCACTGCTGCTTTCGCCCCTGACGTAGTCCTTCGGTCAGGGTTTCGATGGCCTGCGGCTGATCGCCGGCGGGCTCGAACGGTCGGTGGATGCGAAACTCCAAGGCTACACGCTCCGTCTGGTGTGAATGGCTGCTGAACGTTCGGCCGACAATCCCGTCGAGCGACGATCGTTGTCTGGGGTCAGGGGATGGACGCCGCGGGGGGGACTTCGCCGGCGACATTCGATGCCGCAGGCATGGGCATCAAGTAGGGCTGAATTCGCTCGAGCGTGCGCGGACCAATGCCGCGGACTCGCATGATGTCGCTGTGATCGATGAATGGCCCATCGTTTTCTCGCGTTTCGACAATCCGCCGGGCCAGTGTCTCACCGATCTCGGGCAATTGCGCCAGCTCGGGCCAGGAGGCCGTGTTGACGTCGACTTCGAAATGCACGACTTGCGGTTCCGCGCGGTCGATGTCGATGAAGCGCCCCTGTTCGCTATTCAATCGCCAGAGGTAACCCGCGAGGGAAACGAACAACACCAACACCGTGGCCGCGAGCGCCGCTTGCTCGCCTCGCCGGAGCAAGGGAGTTTGCGAGGAGTCGCTGGGTTTGTTCGGCTGCGAGGTTCGCATGCTTGGAGGAACTCTGCGAGTGCTAAGCTGACCGCAATGGATCGAACTCTCTATTATTACCCTCAGCCGTTCGTTCGCCCAGGGTGGAACATACTGCTGGTGCTTGAACGCTGGGGGGGATCCGCCTAGCATGCACGGCGTCGATTCTTCACTTACGTCCGCCAATTGCGGGGTTCACGTGCACGCAGATTCATCGTCGAAAGACTTTTCGCCCGTTACTTGGGACGACCGGCTGGAAGAGGACTGCCGCACCCTGATTCAATTGGCCATTCGCGAAGATCTCGATCGACTGTACGACTGGACCACGGTGTCGCTGGTGCCGAAAGATGCCCAGGGCAGGGCGTCGATTGTGACTCGCGAGTCCGGCATCGTCGCTGGACTTCCGGCTGCTCAGCTTGTTCTTCTGGAGGTCGATCCCAAGTTGGAATGGGAGTCGCACGTCGAAGACGGACAACGGCTAACGCCTGGCGATGTGGTGGCCACCATCTCCGGTTCGGCTCGCAGCCTGCTGACTGCCGAGCGGACGATGCTGAATCTACTAGGGCGTCTATGCGGTGTGGCTTCGCTCACCCGAAAGTATGTCGACGAGGTGGCTGGCACCTCGGCCAAGATTTATGACACCCGCAAGACCACACTTGGCTGGCGGCGGTTGGAGAAGTACGCCGTGCGGCTTGGCGGGGGACGAAATCACCGCACGGGGTTGTTCGATGCCGTGTTGATCAAGGACAACCACCTAGCGTGGTTCACGCAGTCGCACGGTGGAAAGGAAGAACAACTTGCCGAAGCGGTAAATCAGGCTCGAAAGTTTCTCTCTGAGATGATGCCCGGCGGTGGTGAGGCGGTGATTGTCGAGATTGAGGTCGACACACTTGATCAACTCAAAGCGGTTCTTCCCGCGGGGCCTGACATTGTGTTGCTCGACAACATGTCGACCGAGGAGTTGCAGGCGGCCGTGGAGCTTCGCAACGCGGAGGCCGGCGGCGTGCAATTGGAAGCCTCGGGTGGCGTCAATCTGAATACGGTCGGCGCGATCGCAAAAACCGGCGTGGATCGCATTAGTGTAGGGGCACTGACCCACGCGGCGATTTCGCTCGACTTGGGGCTCGACTGGGAAGTTGGGCCTTAACCCCAACCGAGCAGGTCGGCAGTGGGGCCAGCTTCGCCGATTCTTCACTTATTTCTCGAATGTTGCTCCTTATGCGCGGCACAACCGGTATGAGCCAAAACCGGATGAGGCTTTTTTGACACGCGTTTTAGCCAACCTATAGTTGCCTTGTAACCGCGCCTTGGGGAGGGGCGTTGTCACACGCGCAGCAGGGACAGCTCGGAGCTTGAGGGGCCCTGCTGCGCACCTTTTTTCTTTGCCGTCCCCCTCGCGGGAGCTCCTCCAGCCCAGACGGGCATCGCCGTGTTCCAACCATCTCTTGTGAATCGAAGGCACATGAAGATGAGCGGGTGCACTCTCATTTTCTTCCAGCGTGTTTCGAGAGCTGAAGTTCGTGCCTCGAAGATCTCTCAACGCAACCTTCACTCCGGACATAGGTCCTCGGGGTTCACGCTCGTCGAAGCGATTCTGGCTTTGACCATCAGTGTGATTGCAGGGTCGGCCATTGTGTTGGGGCTTTCGAGTTCGCTGCAAACCACGCAAGTCGCCGAGGACGAGACGGTGGCCCTTGGGATGGCAAAACAGATGATGGATGAAATCGCCAGCATGCGGTACGCCGAAGCGGGCGAGGGGCCTTACCAAACCACGCTCGGCCCGGAAGTGGGCGAAGTTTCGCCGAGCGGGCGAGCCCAGTTTGATGACATCGACGACTTCGACGGCTTGAGCAACCAACCGCCGACCGATTATTGGGGAATCCCACTGGGGTTCGACGATGGCGAGGGCGGAACACGACACTCGGAGTTAACGGCTCCGGCGAATCGATTCACCAACTGGCGGCGCGAAGTTGACGTGTATTACGCCAACCCGACGAGTTTCGATACACCGCTTTCGGGAAGCACGACCAGCGACTATCGGGTTGTGGTGGTCCGTGTCCTTCGCACCGATCTCGATGGAAGTGAACACGAATTGGCTCGAATGCAGAGGGTGTTCACGCATGTACCCAAGCCCTGAAAATAAGCACTCAATCGCGTCAAGCCGCGTGGCGTTTTCCTGCAAACGAAACGGTGGCATGTCGCTGGTGGAACTCTTAATCGCCTTGGCGATTATGGGAGTGATGGGGGCAATGGTAGCCGGCTTGGGCCAGGCGGCTAGCTCTGGGTGGCGTTATGGACAAGGGCATGCGGATGCGACACAGCATGCCCGCGTGTCGCTGGAACGTATGATGCGCACGGTCCGCGAGGCCTATGCGACGGCCGATCATCCTGGCTGCGCGGTGCTGTACACCGAGGTTGGCTCGTGGCGTTTTCCGGACACGCTCATTGTTTGGGCACCTGAGGGAGAGCCACAGAATCCCGATGGCCCTCCGCTGGCGAACGAATGCGTGATGTTCTGCCCCGATCCTGCCGATCCGAGTCAGTTGGTCGAGATTCGCGCGCCGTCCGACACGCAGGCGGTTCCGCTGGAAGAACTGAACAATCCCAGTTGGCAAAGCGCGATCGAAGCCTACAAGACCGCTGTATCGAATGAGAAAGTGGTCCTGACCGATTTGCTCCGCACCAGTCAGAACGACATCGGTACTGCGCCGCGAGGGGCGATTCGGTTCGAGCGGGAACTACGGCCCTCTAATTCTGAATGGACCGCTTATCAAGACCCGATGGTGAGCCTGGACTGGGATGAACTCTCGTGGCCCCAAGATCTATACGGATCGAACTGCGGTACTCGCAATGTCTGGATTCGAGTTGAGATGCAGTTGATGCCCGGCCAGGAATCGATCACTGCCGATCCTTCGGGTCAGCAGGCAGTGACATTCTTCGACTCGGCCAGCTTGAGCTACTCCGTCGAGAAGTAACCCCCCTCAGGGCTGCTTGGCCGCCGGAAGTGCTGTCATCGCCCAGCCCCCACCTCAGCTAGCAGTAGATGAATTCGAACAACCGGCAGATCCGGTGCATTCGGATTGCCCTCGCATCCGAAAGGTAGGACAACCTTTCGTCGTCGCCTCCGCCGGCGGGCTACGTTCGTGCGGATGCGTTGCCACCCAACTGTTTAGGAGATGATAGCCATGCGTAAGCAGCCTCAACGGACCCTGCTGATTCTGATTGTGCTGAATGTCGTATCACTAAGCGTGCTAGGCTTTTACAGGACGAGCGACGCGGCTCCGCGACAGGCGCCGCAACAGGTCGCCAACCCTACGGAACAGATGTTTGAGGTCATCAACGAGTTGAAACAACTCAACGTGTTGATGAAAGAACAAAACGAGCTGCTGCGCACCGGAAAAGCTCGCGTGGTGATCAGCGGTGTGGAAACCCCCAAGTCGTGAACGAATGTCACAGCGCGAACGAATTGGCTTTACGCTGATTGAGCTGCTAATCGTCGTTGCCGTAATGGCTATTGTGGCAGCGTTGGTTGTGCCATCAACGACGCCGGCTGTCTCGCAGCGCCTTCGATCGGCCGCTGAGATGCTTGCGACTGACTTGGGATACGTCAGAAGTTTAGCCGTTTCGAATGCCAGCCAGTATCGGGTGAGCTTCGATGTGGAAAACAACCAGTATGTAATCGAACACAGTGGAAGTAACGGGGCTCTGGATTCCTTACCGCCAGGGCCGTTTCGGGCACCGAACGATCCTGCGGATGAGCATATCGTTGATCTGAATTCAGTACCAACGCTATCACGCGGTGGAGTTCAAATGTCGGCCGTGGCGACTGGCGGTGGAACTCCTCTGACACAAATTGAGTTTGGACCGCTGGGGTCTACGACCGAGTCGGATGAGACCGTTATTTGGTTCTCAGCCGGGTCGGGAACAACGGAACAGAATGTGGGTGTGTTTGTTAACCCAGTAACAGGACTGGCCACGGTGGGTGAAAGCCTGGCCATTGATGAGGAAGAGTGACACGTCCGGAGATCCCTGAACAAATAGGTTCTGGATTTCTCAGGCAGTTTCAAAAAAGTGAGGGTAGTGAGTCATGCTTTCGTGGTTTGGTTCAGAACGCGCCGCTCCCATCGGAATCGACCTGGGGCACCGGTCGATTAAGTTGATGCAGCTCGACAATGCGCGGAATCGAATCGTGGAGGCCGTGAAGTGGGAACTGAATCTCAATGCGGACGCCACCGAAGAACAAACCGCCGAGGCCTGGATTGAAGGATTGCAACAGGCCAGGCAGAGTCGGGGGTTTCGTGGGAACGACGCCGTCGTGTGCTTGAGTGCTCCCGAGCTGTTCGTGCAGAACGTTCGAGTAGCCAAGGTGGCCGATTCGCAACTGGAACATGCCGTGTATGAAGAGGCTGCCTCACGTCTACGGTATCCAATCTCAGAAGCCGAAATACGCTACTTTCCCGCAGCAGACGTACGTCAGGGCGATGAATTCAAGAAAGAAGTCATTCTGCTGGCTTGCCATCGTCCTGTACTCGACCGGTTTTTGAATGTGGTGGTCGAAGGTGGGTTGCGACCAGTTGCTGTGGACGTAGCCCCAGCGGCGTTGATGCGTGGCTATCGGCATTGCTTCCGTCGCGATTCAGACCAAGAGCTGAGCTTGATGATCGTAGCCATCGGGGCCACCAGCACCCTGGTGGTGATCGCTCAGGGTCAAGAGACCAAATTCACCAAGTACATCGACATTGGCGGGAATCGCATGGACGACGCGATCGCCCGGCACATGAAGATGGCCCATAACGACGCTGCAGCATTGCGCCGGCATAACAGCGATCGCCGAACGGGCGAACAAGACCCAGACGTAACGCGAACGATTATGGAAGCGACGCGCGTGATTGTTGATCGACTGACCGAAGAACTCTCGATGTGTGTACGTTACCACAGTGTGGCGTTTCGTGGTCAGCGTATCGACCGCCTGGTGATTGGTGGCGGCGAAGCGAATGAATGGTTGCGTGATGCCCTGAGTTCCCGCGTGGATATCCCCTGCGAAGTCGGCGAACCGCTACGACACCTCGCAGGTGTCGAGCCGCCGGGGCGTCAAAGCCAATGGGACCTCGCCGCAGGGTTGGCACTGCGCTCTTCAAGTTCCTCTCACTCGAAAACCTACGCTGCAGCGACAGCTTGAGCGGATAGTACGTGCTATGCAGGATATTGATTTCCTTCCAGCTGAATACCGCGTGGCCAATGCCCAACGCCGCACACATATGTGGCGCGTGGTCGTGCTGGCAATCGGTCTGGGGTGTCTGATTAGCGGGGCTGCGTACGACTACTTCCAACGAGGCTTGCTAAAGTCGCAACTCGATGCTGCCAAAAAGCGATATCAGGCCAGTCAGTTGCTGGGGGAACAGATCGTTCAGTTGGAAAACGAATTGTTCGACGCACAAGACAAGGCTCACCTGTTCACCTATCTCGATCATCCCTGGCCCAGGTCGCGGATCCTGGCCGCCATTGTGGAACCGTTGCCCAAAGACATCTATCTCGAACGGCTAACCGTGACTTATCGTGCTGCACCGCGGGCGATCTCGCGTCGCGATAACGTGCGGGCTGCTCCGCCAAGTCCGACTGAGGAGCAAGCCGCCGTGAACGGAGCAAAGGCAGACCTTGCAGAATTGCGCAAACACTACGACGAGCAAGAACTGATCGTAACGCTCGCCGGCATGGTTGAAGATGAAGCAAACTTGCACAATTACCTGGCTCGTCTCGAGCTGTCGGATTGGTTCACGGCAACCGAACTGAACGATATCCAACGAGATGAGAAGGACGGTATGAAGGTTTCCCGCTTCCGGGTCGAATTGACAGTGCGCCCTGGGCATGGTCAGAAGACAAATTCCCCGTCGGCCGAACTTGCATCGGCCACTAGCCTGCAAGCGAGGGGAGCAAGACCATGAAGCGCCTACTAGATCGCTCGAGTTGGATGGTCACCGGCCCCCTGTTGCTGCTGACCGTCGTATATCTGACGGTGTTCTTCGTACCGGGGCGTCGTGAGTTGAGGCGGTTGCGCGCAGACCTCAAGTCGACAACCGATATGTCGTACCAAGCCGAGATAAAAGGGACTCGCATCGAGGCCATCCGGGCCGACCTCGAATCGACAAAAGAATACACCGATCAGTGGCGCAAGCGCGCTTTGGGTATGCCCAAGTTTGCCGAGTTATATGGACGCGTGCTAGCTATGGGCCGTGAAACCGGCACCGTCTTTCATTCGTTCGATCCTGAAACCCCAGTTTCGATGAACTACCTGGACCAAATGTCGGTGCAGTTGGTTTGTGGGGGCGATTTCGACTCGATCTTCGAGTTCATCCGCCGTCTCGAAGGGTTCCCGGAAGCCATCTTGATCAACTCCATCGACATGGTGGCACCTCGACAAGATGGGGAAATGACGCAGTGTAGCTTGGATCTCGTCATCTTTACGGATCATTCGCAGAATTCCAATTAGCTGGACTGCTCTGGCGGCCGATAGAGAGAGTATGCCGCAACGCGCTTAGCTAGCTGCATGAATTGAGGAGATCGAGCAAAGGTGGATACGGCTGAACTGGTCACCCGATTGAAGGCCGACGCGAAGGCTAACCCCGCAAAGGTAGCGGTGCTGGGGTTATTGCTAGCGGTGGCCATCTATTTCTGGGTGCCTCTGGCAGGCAAGCTGTTCACGAAGCGAGAACCTGCCAACGTCCAGCCTCAGCCGCTGGTGCTTGATATCGCCTCAGCAGTTTCAGAGCAGGAACCGACGATGACCCACCAGTCTTGGCGTGACATCACGGACGGGATTTCAGAAGACCCCGACATGGAGCCGGCACCCAAGATCGAATGGGAGCGAGATCCGTTTGCGGTAGCCATTGCACCGCCTGAACCCGAGTCGGAGATGGTCGACGACTCGATTCCGATCGAGGCGTCGGACGCCCAGGTTCAACTACTACTGAAGGGAACGTTAGTCAGTGCGACCAAGAAAACAGCCCTGATTAACAACGACAGTTATCAACAAGGCGACACAATTGAACTGGCAGAGGGATTCTCTGTGGAAATCGAGCGGGTAGCCACCCGGTATATCGTGCTCGAGGCCAACGGGAATCGGTTTCAACTGGAGTTGAATACCCCCACCACGATCAGTGCCTCGCAGTTCAGGAATCCAGGGTAATCCTGCGAGGAATTCGCAGCGCGATACACGATTCGGCCACTAGCCGAACAAGGTCATGGACGACGAATGAGACTTCTTGCCAAGCTAATTCTGCTCGCAGGCTTTGGTGCGTTCGGCATTGGCGTAGCCATGTTGCTCGCTAATGCCATGCCTCAAAAGCCGCGCATCGATGCTCCGGTTGCTGTTTCGAAGCAGTTGGAAGCCGCCCAGGAAAGCAAACCTGCGGAGCAAACCGAAGCTCCGGTCCGTGAGCACATACAACCGGTAGCCACCACAGCAACGGACCCAAAAGTTGCCGTGGCGATGCCTGTGGCTCACGAAGAGCCGGCTCCGCAAGTCGCCGAAACTGTGCCTCCGGTGGCACAGCAACAGGGCGAGTCGATGGACTCATTGGGGCCGCTGCTCGATTTGATTCAGCAGGTTCCGAACCTCAAACAACTGGTCGATGGAACCGGTATCCCTACGGCTCCCCCGCCGGCAGAAGCTGCGCCGACGGCTGCTGGCCCAAGTCAGGCTGCACCGGCAGCTCCTTCTGCGCCTCAGGTACCGCAGGGTCCTCTGCAGCAGAAGCCGGTCGTTCGGGCTTCTGAAGGTGACGACAAACTTAGCTTCAATATCTCCGGCATGGATATTCGCACTGCGCTCGAGTGGTTAAGCGAACAGGGCGGGTTAAACATTGTCGCGACTCAAAGTGTTACTGGTATCGTCAATAGTGTTGCACTTAACAATGTCGATGCTGAAACTGCACTGGACGTGATTCTCGAGTCGACCGGGTTCGTCATGCGGCGGAAAGGGCGGTTCGTGTACGTTGGCACGCCCGAAGACTTTGCCAATCTGGAGCAGTCCCGCGACACCATCATCACCAAAGTTTACCGGCCGAATTACGTCACGGCCGCCGAGCTGCAAACCCTGATCACACCACTGTTAAGTGATCGAGGCTCGATCAGTGTCACCACAGCTGCTGAAACAGGCATCCAGAGTGATTCGGACAACGCCGGCGGCGACTCGCTGGCTAACGGCGATGCCGTGGTGGTTCGCGACTACGAACTTGTACTTGCTGAGGTCGACCAGGTTATTGCTGAGCTGGATAGACGCCCAATGCAGGTGGCTATCGAGGCGATGATTCTCAGCGTGAAGCTGAACGACAATACCGAGTTCGGTATCAACTGGCAGTTTCTTCGCGATCAAGACAATGTGCGCTTCGGTTCTGGATCACCTCGAGTCGAGCCGCTGAATGGAGCGGGTACCGTTGACTCGGCAACGGGCGGGACGATAGGAGAATTCCTGTTCGATGGCGGACTTTCGTTTGCGTTCCTAGATTCAAGCATCGGGCACTTCATCGAGGCATTGGAAACCATCGGCGACACCAACGTGATCGCCACGCCGCGGTTGATGTGTCTGAATAAGCAACGGGCGGAAATTCTCATCGGTGCGGAGTTGGGTTACGTGAGCACCACGGTCACTCAAACTCAGGCGACTCAGCAGGTCGAGTTCCTTCGCGTGGGCACTGAGCTGCGACTGCGGCCATACATCTCCAGCGATGGTTTGATTCGCATGGAAGTACATCCGCAGCTTTCAACCGGTGCGGTGCGTGTGGAAGAGGGATTCACGTTGCCCGACCGCGAAACAACCGAAGTGACCACGAACATCATGACTCGCGATGGCTGCACCGTCATCATTGGTGGTTTGGTTCGTGAAGACTTGAGCGTCAACTCGAGCCAGATTCCGTTCCTGGGCAGCGTTCCCTATTTAGGGGTGCTATTCCGGCAGCGCAGCGAAGAAATCGAACGCAGTGAGATCGTTATCCTCATCACCCCGAACATTGTTTCCGAACCAGAAACCTGCTGCGAAGGCGAGCAAGCTGCTTGCGAAATGCATCGGCGGCACGCCGTCTACTCAGATCACATGAGCCCCATCAGCAAGCAATACCTTGGCCGGAAGTACTTCCGGCTTTCGCAAGAAGCCCTGGCTTTGGGCGATATCAGGCGCGCCAAGCGGTATATCGATTTTTCGATCAGGCTCGACCCGGCCAGCCGTGCCGCGATTGAGTTGCAGAACGACTTGGACGCTGGCACATTTGACGGCGACCATAGTTCAAACCCTCCAGTGATGAAGGGAAGCCTGCTCTACGATCCCGCAACCTACCCCGGCACGGGCCACTTCATCGAGTCGAGCGGTATCCACTCGGGTGAGGTGATAGTGGAAGGCGAGACCATCCAGGGATCTCTGGACGGTCAAGCAATCGCCCCCTGGGTACTCGAACGCCTGGAGGCCCCCGAACAAGTCACTCCAAACTACCCTCTCGATCCGGGCCACCCGGGTGAGGTCCGGACGATCCAGCCTCGGGGAGAGAACCCTTGAGTTGCCGCGAAACTGCCAAGACATCGGCGCTGCTTTGCGCGGTACTTGCAATTGCCTGCTGCGCGGGCTGTAAGTCGAACCCGTTTGAGAAGGTGGCGGCTCCGCTGACCAACATCGCTCCCGACCGTGTGGAGCGCGAGGGGGAGGCAATTGCCGAATTCGAACGTCGGCGGGACAAGGCACAATTTACCGCCGCGCTCGCTCGATATCGCGAGGGCGACCTGGAAGAGTGTCGGAGGTCGTTAGACGGCATTATCGAGCGTAATCCGGAGCACTCGGATGCACGGCTTCTCTTGGCCGAGTTACTTCTCGTCGAGAAACAGCCACAAGTCGCGTTGCAACATGTAGAGAGTGTGCTGGTCCGAGAGCCGAACAATGCCGCGGCTATTCACACCGCGGGACTGGTCCACGAGGCCTTAGGCAATCCAACAGTGGCCCTCGAACAGTTTCAGCGTGCGAATCAGTTGGACCCGGAGAACGAGGTTTACCTGCTGAGCTACGATTCTGCTGTTGATAATCCGCTTCGCCCAGCTGGAAACGCTCACATCGACATGAACCAAACGGCCATGTACGCGCCCATTAGTTTCGGGAATGCAGGTGGCAACGGTTTTACCGAACGGCAGGAATCGTGGAGTGGGTTGCTAGTTGAGGCCGAAGCAGCTTTGAAAGCAGGTAACGATCTTGCCAGTCGTGAGGCTTTTGATCGTGCCATGCGGTTCTCTGGCGATAACCCGCAAGTTCCCATCTCGATAGCAGTGTTGATTTTACGACACAACCGCCCAGAACTCGCCAGAGAGTACCTGGAGCCCGCCGTAGCGCGTTTCCCGAACGAGCCGCGTCTTCACCGCACGCTCGGTTTAGTCCTCTATCGCCTAGGTCATTACGAGGCGTCTCAAGTCTCGATACGGCAAGCACTTTCTTTGGACAACACAGATGCCCTGTCCTACGTTTTACTGGGCTCAGCGTTGTCAAAAATGGGCGATCGTGCGGCATACGAAGCTTGCCTGTACGAAGCCCGTCGACTTGACCCGTCGCTGGCAGAATTGCGCTAAGAAACAACGTGTGTTGTGCTTAGACAACGGTTAACCGCCTCGGTGCAATCCGGCGGTCAATCGCCTCTGCCGAGATTCTCAGTCGCGACGCGAGCCCTTAGACAGTACTGAGGCTATTGCCTTTCTCTTCAGAAAGGGCATGCGCACTGGTCAACCCCCTAGGCCTTTTGAATCCAGTTTGGTGACGAGCTTCTAATGTCCCGGCGACAGAACACTTCAATAGCAATCACGCTCTCGCTTGTGATGTGTGGCACTGCTGCGCTCCTTGGCGCGGTTGCGTTCGCACTGCCTTGGCTTCCCTTCTCGCCAGAAGTACTGCGTTGGATCGCGATCGCTGCCGGTCTGATTATGTTGTGCTGCGGCGGGGGGATCGTTGCCAACCTGAAAACCCAGAACGAGCAACAAGAACTGACCCAATCGTTTCTGCAACGGATCAGCCAGCTCGATTACCACGATGTCGATGCCTCGCGGATTGAGGGGAATTTGCCCCCGTTATCGAAAGACCACCCGTTATCCGATTCCCTGCAGCGGATCGAGAAGCGGTTCGCTGAGAACTGCGAAGCGCTCCGCGATGCAGAGCATAGCCGGGCCATCCTCGATATTCGCTGCCGTCGAGCAACCATGCAGCACGAGCAGATCACGAAAGTCATCGGTAGCTTGAATGAAGCCGTGCTGGTGGTCGACGATTACGACGAACTCGTACTGGCGAACCCGAGTGCCGGGAAGCTGTTTGGCTTCGAGGCTGGCACCGCCGAACATCGAGCGCTTTCGCAACTGATTGAGTGTGATCGATTGCTGGAGTTGCTTAAAGAAACCCGTACCCGAAAAGCCGCTTCAACGCGGACCGATGAAATTCAAATCTGCGACGAAGAAGGGCACAGCCAGTGGTATAGCGTTACGGCCTCGAGCATCGACTCGGATGAGGAGCTGGCAGATCCGACTGACAAGGTGGGCAGTGGTGCAGTCGCCGTGCTTCGAAATATCAGCATTCAGAAGGCGGCACAAAAGCGGAATGCCGAGTTTGTCTCGGCGGTAAGTCATGAGATGAAGACTCCGCTGGCCAGTATCAAGGCCTACGTCGAGATGTTGGCCGACGGAGACGCCGAGGACGAACAGACGCAGGAAGAGTTCCTCGATGTGATCAACACCCAGGCCGATCGACTCAAGCGGTTGATCGACAACCTGTTGAACTTAGCCCGAATTGAAGCCGGAGTCGTGCAGGTTAGCAAAGAGAACACTTCACTTAATGAGGTATTGGAAGAGGCCTTCCACGTTGTGGAGCCTTCGGCCGTGGCGAAATCAATCGAGTTGGTTTCCGACCTGAGCCAGTTGTACCTCCGCGTGTATGTCGACCGCGACATGATGCTGCAAGCGGCCATCAACCTGCTTTCCAACGCTATCAAGTACACCGCCGAAGGGGGACGCGTCGTCATTCGAAGTCGCCTGGCGGATAAGCAGGTCCGGTTCGAAGTCGAAGACTCTGGCGTCGGGCTCAGCGAGGAAGATTGCGACAAGGTATTCGATAAGTTCTATCGCGTGAAGAAAGACAGCCAAATGGCACCCGGAACAGGTCTGGGACTGCCGCTGGCCAAGCATATTGTCACCGATGTTCACCAGGGTCAGCTGACCGTGACTAGTGAACTCGGCGTGGGCAGCACGTTCTCAATTACCTTGCCCAGCGTCGGGCAGATGAGCTAAATCCGGCATGGAGACTGATCCAATGTTGCGAGATGCAACTATCCTGCTGTGCGACGACGAATATCCGATTCTGCGAGCGGCCGAGTTCAAGCTCAAGCGAGCCGGCTACCAGGTGATTTGCGGTAGTGATGGGCAAGAGGGCTGGGAGATCATCCAGCAACTTCGCCCTGACTTGCTGGTTACCGACTATCAAATGCCGCGGATGAACGGATTGGAACTTTGCAAGGAAGTTCGATCGATGTCTGAGACTCGTGAGATGCCGATCATCATGCTCACAGCCAAGGGCTTTGAACTTTCGGTGGAAGATATCCGCCAGGAATACGGAGTCGTGGAGTTGCTGAGCAAGCCCTTCAGCCCCCGGGAACTCCTGCAACTGGTCGACGACACGCTGGAGCAAAACACCAATATCGCTGAGGCATCGACGCCCGAGGTAGCCAGTGTCGAGACAACGAATCCCACGGAGACGCTGTCGTGAATTTGCCCACCGAAATATTTGACGACGTGGTCGTGGTCCACACTCCCGAGGAACTGGGAACCGACCAGGTTGATGAGTTTGAAGCGTTCATCTCCACCCTTGAGCATACCCAGATTGTGTTCGATTTGGATCATACCGAGTTGCTCGACAGCGCCGGCCTGACGAGCATTCTCGACACCTACGATGCGATGCGGGAACGCAACGGCGACGTCAAGCTGACCACCACCAACGTTAGCAATCGCAAGATTCTGGAAATCACTCAAATCGATCGTCAAGTCGAGGTTTTCGATAGCGTGATCGATGCGGTGAGCAGCTTCCGGTAGTTGTTCGAATTTCGCCAGTTGAATTAGACAAGCAAGTCACAATGGCAGCGAGATCCTCACTGTGTCTACGAATGTAACGACTGACAAACGCGCCCGACTGGGATCGCTGCTGCAACTCAAGGGATACCTCACTCCGGAAGGACTAGAGCAGGCACTGGACCGACAGCGCGAATCTTCTCGCAAGAGCCTGCTCGGAGAACTGTTGGTCGAAATGGGGCTGTGCACTGAAGACCAGGTGACTGAATGCCTGGCCATGGAGTACGGGGTCCCGTACGCACGCCTCGATCAGCGCATCTACGATCCACGGTCAATCGATGTGCTGCCGCGCGATTTCATCGAGAAGAATCTCGCGCTGCCGTTGTTTGTGATTCGCGACACCCTCACGGTTGCGGTGCCCGAGCCGTCGAATCTGTTCTTGATTGATGAAATCGAGCATCTCACCAAGCGCAAGGTGAATATTGTCGCCGCGTCGACTAGGGATCTGCGCCGCATGGTCCAGACGGCACTGCCCAATGCGCAGGTGTTCGTCATCGACGACATTATCGAGGACTCGACCGCGGCGGACGTCACGCTGATTGAAGATGCGGCCGAAGACCTGGGCGAAATCGAAGAGATTGCAGGTCAGTCGCCGGTTATCCGCTTAGTCAACTACATCATTTACAACGCCGTGAAGGAAGGTGCTAGCGACATCCACATCGAGCCCGGCGAGCGTTGCATGCGGGTTCGCAATCGTATCGATGGACGTCTCTATAAGTCGCTGGAAGTCCCACTTCACTTGCTCAACGCGGTGACCAGCCGTATCAAGATTATGGCCTCGCTCGATATCAGCGAGCGGCGACTCCCGCAGGATGGACGCATCCACGTGATGCTCGAGGGTCGGCCGATCGATCTTCGTGTCAGTACGTTCCCCATGAACAACGGTGAGAAGACTGCGATTCGTGTTCTCGACATCCGTAGTGTCTCGCCGAACCTGGAAGACTTAGGTTTTGCAGAAGACCTGCTGGCCACATACCGCGAGCACATCACCGCACCGAACGGCATCGTGCTGGTCACGGGGCCAACGGGAAGTGGTAAGTCGACCACGCTTTATGCTTCGTTGAACGAAATCAGTTCTATGGAGAACAATATCTGCACGGTCGAAGACCCCATCGAATTCAAGATGCCGCTGATCAATCAGTTCCAGGTTCAAGAACGGGTGGGGCTGTCGTTCTCCAAGGCCCTACGAACACTACTACGACAAGACCCTGATGTGATCATGGTCGGTGAAGTCCGAGATGAAGAAACTGCGCGTACGGCGATTCAAGCCGCCCTCACCGGTCACTTGGTGTTCAGCACATTGCATACAAACAACGCCAGTTCTGCCGTTACGCGGCTCCTGAATATGGAGGTCGAGCCGTTCCTGATTGCTGCGGCCCTGAATATGGTGCTTGCCCAACGCTTGGTGCGGCGAATCTGCCCGAAATGCCGTCAAGAGTATGAACCGCCGCGAAACATGCGCAAGGCCGTTGAACGCTTAGGCTACGACATCAAGACCTACTTCAAGGGAATTGGTTGCAGACGATGCCGGAACTCGGGTTTTAGCGGCCGTATTGGCGTACATGAGTTGCTCGTGGTGAATGACGAGATGCGCGACGCGATCACCGCGGGCGCCACACTCACGACAATTCGCGACATCGCTCGACGCAACGGGATGGCATCGATCGGCGACGACGGCTTCCGCAAGGTGCGGGAAGGTATCACCACCGTATCTGAAGTGATGCGAGCCGCAGGAGACCTGCAAATGTCCGCAGCCGATACGAACGGTTAGTCCTCGTTGTTCATTGTCACTCGAATCCAAAACACTGAACCCATCCTCCCGAAGGCAAGGCACTGAACATGAGTATGCCTTATCAAGCCTCGAACTCTTTCGCATCCGGTAGTAATGCTCCCAGTCGTGGTGCAGGCGGCGACGGCCATGCGTCTTCGCTGAGCGGTGACATCCAAGCCACCGGTGCTGAAAAAGGGCACTCAAGACATTCGCTGTTTGCCCCCCGGGTGAAGAAGATTGAAATCGCTGATATCACCAGCCAACTCGGGCTGATGGTCGATACCGGAATCAACTTGTCAATCGCGCTGCAAGGCATCGCCGAACAGACCAAGAACGCCACAATGCGGCGGACCTTGGAAGGATTAAAAGCCTCCGTCGATTCCGGTGAAGATTTTTCAGCAGCACTGGCCCGATATCCGCGAATGTTCGACGAAACCTATGTGTCGTTGGTCAAAGCTAGCGAAGAAACCGGCTCGTTGGGAACCATGTTAGATCGCATTGCGACCTACATGAGAAAGGAAGCTGAGACCTGGAGCAAAGTACGTTCAGCGTTGGCATATCCGGCCATCATGATGGTGATGGCCGTTGGGGTCACCATCTTCCTGATTGCATTCATCTTCCCCAAGTTTGCTCCGTTGTTTGAACGCAAGGGTGTCAATCTCCCGAAACCCACACTCATGCTAATGACGATCTCAAATGCCTTTACTGAGTATTGGTACTTGTGGCTGATTGCCCTCGCGTTGCTAGTCGGCTTGGCCGTTGCATCCAAGTTGACAGAAATGGGCCGCCATGCGTCGGACTGGTTGAGAATTTACATTCCGATCGTGGGCACAGTTCAGCGAAAAGTAATCGTTGGCCGTAGCCTTCGCACGCTTGGTACGATGCTGGGCGGTGGGGTCCCACTACTCGATTCGCTGGAACTGTGCAGTCGAGTGGCAGCCAACACGTACTATCAACAGCTTTGGGCTGATGTGTCCCAAGCGGTTACCGAAGGTCGCAGAATCACCGACGCCCTGGCTGAATCTCCGCTACTTCCTCCGACCATCGTGCAGATGATTGGCTCGGGCGAAGAGGCTGGAAAGCTCGACCGAGTGCTGGAAAGAATCAGTATTTTCTACGAACGCGAAGTCGAAAACGCCCTTAAAACAGCCACGACGATCATCGAGCCCCTCATGATCGCTGTAATGGGCGTCATCGTAGGCAGCATTGCGATGGCACTGCTACTACCGATTTTCACGCTAAGCCAATCGCACTAAGTTCACTGCCGGTGCCTGCAACCCAACTGTGGGGAGCAGGATGGTAACTTTTGACGATCGCGTAAGGCTTTCGCCTTTCTTCTGCCTTCTGAGTGGCTAACGCGAGTCGCGTGGTGGTCGGGTCGTTCGGCCTAGGTAATTTCGCGAATCTGGCTGATCGCTTCGCAATGTTCCGCGTCTAACGCTCAATCTGCGGACTCTCATTGTGCATTGCATTTTTGGTCGAAGACTTGGGGGAACACGGTAGTACGTCGTGCGTCGTGCGATGGTTCGCACGGTTACGGTTCCGAAAGGAACTCCCCCGACACGCGACAAGCGAAGCACATTCCGCAGACGCTCCGGCACGCCATCGAAAATGGCGTCTAGCAAAATCGTTCGAGGAAGGAACCCACTATCATGCGAGTTCAGTTTTTTGCCACGGCGATCGCCATCGCCACGTGCTGTGCCGGGCCTGCTTTTGCGCAGGGTCGGGTAACGGCGGGGTTGGAAGGCTCGGTGCCTTCGACGCCTGCGGCGTATGAGTACGAAAGCTACTACGCCAACGAAGAAACGGCTGAGTCGAACACCAGCAACACCAACACCTCGCAAGCCATTGCCAACTACGGCAGCTCTGCCTGCTGCGGTTCGGCCTGTGGCTCTTGCTGCGATCCTTGCGGATCGTCGTGCTGCGACCCCTGCAGCAGCTGCTGCGATCCTTGCAGCTCGTGCTGCGACAGCTGCTGCGGCTGCGGTGGAGAAGCCTTCTCCCTGCGTAGCGCGCTGTTGGGCGACGACTCGTGGCTCGACTTCGGCGGTTGGACCCAAGTGGGTTACACCACCGAATCGACCGCCATCGGCAACGCCGGTGCCTTCAACACGCACCCCGACGCCGTGCGTTTGCACCAGCAATGGCTCTATGTCGGTCACGAAGCCGACGGTAGCGCCGGCCTCGACTTCGGTTTCTGGTTCGACGCCATCTACGGTGTTGATGCCCAGGACACCCAAGCCTTCGGCAACAACCCGGGCGTTTACGACTTCCAAAACGGCCTGGATCACGGTATCTACGGTTACGCTTTCCCGCAGCTCTACGGTGAAGTGGCCGTGGGCGACCTGTCGGTGAAGATTGGTCACTTCTACACCATCATCGGTTACGAAGTGGTGCAGGCGACCGGCAACTTCTTCTTCAGCCACGCCTGGACGATGTACAACTCTGAGCCGTTTACGCACACCGGTGCTTTGGCCACCTACGCCCTGAACGACGCGGTGACCCTGTACGGTGGTTGGACCCTGGGTTGGGACACTGGTTTCGATCAGGTCAACCAAGGTAACAACTTCCTCGGTGGTATCGGCCTGCAACTGACCGACGCCATCAACTTCACCTACGCCACCACCGCCGGTAACTTCGGCGATCGCTCGGCTGGCTTCGACGGCTACATGCAGAGCCTGGTGTTCAACGTGAACGTGACCGACAACCTGAACTACATCCTGCAGAGCGACTTGCTGCGGATTGATGGAACGGGCGAAGATGACCTCGGTATCAACCAATACCTGATCTACAGCCTCAACGATGCCGTGGGTGTTGGTGGACGTATGGAATGGTGGAAGGACGATGGTACTTCCTACTACAACCTGACCGGTGGTCTGAACGTGCGTCCGATCGCCAACATGGTGTTCCGTCCTGAAGTTCGTCACAACTGGGTCCCCGGTTTGGACCTGCAAGAGACGATCTTCGGTGTCGACACGGTGTTGACCTACTAAGTGCGAACGAAGCCGGCGGTTCGCCGAGTAGCCATCTCCCCCATGGCCTCGGCGGACCGGCCGAGAATTGCGACCCCGACTTCCCCTCGCAGGGTGTCTGAGACCTCGGCGAGCCCTCACCAGCCCCACCTCGGCTAACCGCTCTCAGACGCCCTGTTAACGGGGCCGCGAAACCACCACCGCCGCCAGCCCCAACGCCGGCGCAAAACAACGTACGACACTCCCCAATCCGTCTCCCGCGAGCCACCCCCCGGCACGCGGGAGATTTTTTTGTTGGGGCTGCGTGAGATGAAAACTCACCGCTGTAAAAGCGCAAGTTACGCGCGCAGCGTGATCGCCAGAGAGTGACGAAAGAGAAGTCCCCAAGGCGGCTTCAACGTTCACATCGCCCCGGGTGAGTAACGATGGCCAAGGCAGATGTCTTGGCCATGCCGGGAGATTATCGACCGAACTTCAAACGGTTGCGTCGCGCACGGCGCTCTGCACGCAGTTTCGCTCGTCGTTTCGATTCGCTCGGCTTTTCGTAGTATTCTTTGCGGCGCATTTCTTTCTTGATGCCGCTTCGCTCGACCAATTTTCGGAACCGTCGGACCGCTTCTTGGATCGACTCGCGGTCGCGAACCTTCAGCTTGACCACTTGTTCTCCTTTTGCTTGTCGTTGAGCCCCAAACGGGCTGCCATTGCATTGAAACACTGGCTCTTAGAGCCATAACTCCCTAAGCCGAATAGGCTTCGGAATTCGGTAGTGTAGCTTTCGCCACGATTACTGTCTAGGCAAAGCCTATCCTACGCTTGTTGTGGGTGGCGGGAAATATATTGGGCTCTCAGAAATCGACCTTAACTTCCACGCCAGCAATAGGTTACCGAAGACAACCAATTTTGCCAACTAGGGTACTCCAGGCCTTCTGTTTTACCAGGTGAGCGCAATCGCCCTCAGCGCTGCGACCGCCTAGCTAAGATCTGCGGCCCCATGTAAGGGAATTGAATCCCGGGCACGTCGGCCGCCGATTGCATTACCCGAGCCGCATTACATTCCGACACCTGTGAGGACTGCCAGTTGAACGAGAAGCCCCGCCTGCAGACGGTCGAAGAGCTTGAGATGCGTCAGGATGACGTACTTCGGCAGTTAGACGAACTGAACAGCCAACTCGAGCGCGTGCTCCGTGAGGTGGCTCCTAGCTCCTCTGGTGGGAGCAGTACTCAGCCCTCGGTGTAGGACCACTAGGCTAATTGCCCGAATCCATGGGCGATTATTTGCGTTGATCGAGATGCCCGGACTTGTAGATCGCTCGAATCACTCGCAACGCCAGGGCACAGGCCAGGCCACAACCGGTTACCCCCAGGAACGAGATGCCGCCAAAGATCGGGATCAACGGGGGAACATCGCGACTGAGCATCAAAGACGAGCCCAGAAAAAGCGCGCTGGTTAGCATGCCCAACACCAGCCGGTTGACCGACGGCTCGAGCCCACGATGGTCGAGGTGCACATCGAACTTACCGGATTGAATCTGCTGAAGGATTTCGAGAATCCCGCGCGGCAGGGCCTCTACGAGCGTCTCGAATTCTGAATAGATGCGACGAAACTTTCGCATTCGCCGCTTCGGTGAAATCCGCTGCCACAAAAGCTTCTTCTGATACGGGACGATCACGTCCATCAGGTTGAACTGGGGGCTAAGCAATTGCGAGGTGCCTTCAAGCATCACCAGCACTTTGAGCAACAGTGCAATGCGGGCCGGCAGGAGAATCTGGTAACGCCGGATCATCTCCGTCAGTTCGTTGAGAGCACCGCTCAAATCAAAGTCGTCGAGCTGCTGGCTAGCGTAGTAATTCACGAACTCGGTGACGTCGATCTCAAACGATGCTCGATCGAGGTTCGCGGGCGTTTCTCCTACGCGCATGATGGTGGTCGTGAGTTGATCTGAATCGCCGCCGGCCAGGGCCATCACGATCTCGCCGATATCTTCCTGCAACTGGGCATCGATGCGACCGATCATGCCAAAGTCGAGGAGCCCAATCACGTTGCCTGGCATTACAAGAATATTGCCAGGGTGCGGATCGGCATGGTAGAAGCCGTGCGTGAAGATCATCTCCATGTACAGTTCCGCCCCTCGACGGGCAACCTCCACCAGGTCGTACTTCGCGGAGATGAGTTGATCTCGCTCGGTGAGCTTAATTCCGTCTAAGAACTCCTGGGTCAGCACTCGCGAGGTTGAGTAGTCGGAGTAGGACTTGGGAATGCGAATGCGGGAATCATCTGCAAAGTCTTTCGCAAACTGCTGCAGGTTCCGTTCTTCCCGGCCGAAGTCGAGTTCACGCAGAATCGTTCTCTGAAATTCCGCCACGGTGGCTCGGGGGCGATAGGGCGTCAGCTCGGGCGACAGCTCGGCAAGTTGGGCCAGGCCATTGAGAATCTCCAGGTCGACCCTGATTTTCTTCTCGATGTTGTGGTGCTGAACCTTCACCACCACGCTCTCGCCAGTCATCAAGCGGGCACGGTGCACTTGACCAATGGAAGCCGAAGCCAACGGCTTGTCATCGAATTCGCTAAACAATTCTTTGATTGGCTGGCCCAGCTCCGCCTCGACCATCTCTCGAACCACTTTGGGTCCGTCGGCCGGAACATCGGCCTGGAGTTTTTCCAACTCTTCAGCCAGAGCTACCCCCACGATGTCGCGGCGCGTACTGAGGATTTGACCGAGCTTGATGAAGGTGGGCCCCAACTCGATCAAAGCGAGACGAATCCGAGTCTCGGGCTTCTGTTTCGCCAGGACATCGCCGCTCGGGCTCTTGAGCAGCGGCTTGGCAAACTCCAGATCGGAGCGGCTAATCCAGTTCGCCAACCCATATTTGCTTAGGATCGAAACAACATCGACCGCACGGTTTACGTTGCGATAGAGCTGAGGAATGGCGGTTATCTTCATGCCGGTTTGGTCGGGCAAAGGACGGCGATCGGTTGCGTGTGCAGCCGGAATGCGTGGGGGGTGATTCGGAGTCGATGTAAGCGGCCGGCTCGAAGGTACTAAACCGTACCACGTGCCATTGGGGTTGAAGCCAGGTAATTTCATACCCTAGCGGGCGGCCTGGCAACAACCGCTCCGCACCGCACTCTGGGCGTGCACCCCGAGAGCAGGGAAGACTTGCCACACGGGCTATTCTGATTATTCCGGTCGTAGAACGCTTGGAGGCCGTCGCATACTTGCCTGAAGATCTTCGGTTGCTGCATAAGGGGTTCGGGGTAGAGTTCGCAACATTGGCCCAAAACTCCCAAAATTGACGGGGATTGATGTCATTCTTATCATGAATAGAGGCTGGAATCTTCGCGAGATATCGCTCGCGCTACGCTCTTCTATCAAACAGCAACGGGTGGGTTCCCACCTGAGTCGAACGAGAATTGAGGCCCTGCATGTTTTATTCTGCCAAGCCGTTTCGCTTACTGGTCGCGCGAAAAAAACGACGCGGAAGCTGGTGGTACGCGGCAGTTTGTTTTTCGCTGGCCCTGGCATTGCAAGCCGGAACGACCATCGCTGCCGACAATGACAAGGAAGAGCCGCCCCCGGAGCCACGCGACCTCAACTTGGTGACCAAGGATCCTGTGCTGCTTAAGGCAACCTACTACGGGTCGAACAAGGGCAAAGAGGCCATCCCGGTTATTCTCCTTCACATGAGTGAGGGCAAACGGACCGACTATCAAGAGCTGGCTCTTTTGCTGCAGGAGCTTGGTCACGCGGTGTTGGTGCCGGACTTGCGTGGCCATGGCGAAAGCACCGAGATCGCCGATTCCCGCAATACGCTCGATGCCTCGCGACTACCCAGCAACCAGTATCCGAGGATGGTGGTCGACGATATGGAGGCGTGTAAGAAGTTTCTCATCCAGGAACACAACGATGGGAACCTGAACATTGAGAAGCTTTGTGTCGTTGGCTCGGAGATGGGGGCCTCGGTGGCTGTTAACTGGGCCCTAATGGATTGGAGCTGGCCGCGGCTGGCTGTGGGCAAGCAGGGCCAGGATGTCAGCGCGCTGGTGTTGATTTCTCCCCAGTGGAGCTACAAGAATTTGCGGTTCAGCGAAGCTTTGGGGCACGACGAAGTTCGCTCGAAAATCGCGGTCTACATCATTGTTGGCGGCAACGATTCTCGAGCCATGAACAACGCGAAGCGAGTCTACAAAGCATTGCAGCCTTACCACGATGACTCGTCGGAAGACGCAAGCAAGCGAGATCTCTTCATCCAAAGCTACAAAACCAGCTTGCAGGGGACCGACCTGCTGGGCGAGGGACTGGGCGTGGGTGAAAACATCGCCAAGTTCATCGACCTTCGCCTGGTGAATCAGAACACCCCGTGGCAAAAACGCGAGTTGCCACTTGGTCAGTAATGCTCTGATCGAGCAATTTTAAGAGGCGTACAGAGCGTTTAGGGAATCTGAAGTAGCACCCCCGTAGGCAGTCGGTTTGGGCTGGTGAGCACCTCGCGATTGGCTTCGAAGATCTCGCGGTACTTCGCCCCATCGCCGTAAAGCCGGCGGGCGATCGAGACCAACGTATCGCCTTCCTTCACGCGATAGGTACGCGGCGATTCCCCTGCCTCGGCGGGTACCGCTCGTAATGATCCAGGTGGGATCTCGACCATAGGCGCCGCCGAGTTGGCAGACGGATCAACAGGCGGCACGCCGAGCCCCAAGGAAACGGGAGCGGCTTCGACACGGGGAGCTGCAGCGGTTGGCATCGGCGGGGGAGTTAGCGGAATCAGCAACTCGGCGCCGATCGGTAACACCTCAGGGCTGCTGAGCTGCTCGCGATTTGCTTCGAAGATTTCCAGATATCGCGATTCTTCGCCCAGGTATCGTTTCGCAAGCGAACGCAGGGTATCGCCATCAATGATCTTGTGTTGGATCGGTTCTTTTGCGGCATAAGGGTCGTCGTCCGCCGAAGCTGAGCCCATGGGCCGCTGTGCCAAATCTTGGAATACCTCCGGGGAGAGACGGTGCTGGCCAACTCCGCCGTCGTTGGGGATCGAGTCGTCGAGCCGGGGGGGGGGTGAATGCACATCCAACGGAGATGGGCCCGAGCCAAGAGGCGTTTGGGCAGGCGTCGCCGGTGGGGCTGCAGCCGCGGGCTCGCTGTCGTGAGCCTGAGCAATCGCCTCTTCAAAATCGAAGTCACGACGCACGAGGTCGTCGGACCCTTGCCTTTCAGGGGCCCCGGACGGCGTCTTTTCTTTGGGCAACATCACCGCCGCCGTAATTCCACCGGCGATGACAGCCAGGGCGATCCAGGTGCGGGCATTGCGTAACATGACATTCCTCAACATCGAGAGTCGGGCGCGTATGGCTAGACCATCGCCCATCGGTGCCATCGTCAGACGAGCGACGGATTCTGCATGCGAATCGAGGTAAGGTGAACCGCTTTAGCGATCTTCGGGCCGACTTTAACACTCAGCGAAACTTTGCGTACATCCTGCGGCCAATCGCCGATCTAGATGCAGTTCCGGGCGGCGAGTTACTTCAAGAAGTGATACGCACCGGCGTGAGAATTGGTTGGCTAGCAGCGCAAAATGAACACTCGATTGACGCCAACCCTGGCAGCGCAATTACACGCTGGCATGCATCACTGAGGAACAGATCTCAGTGTTTTCCACGGCATTTCGAGTGCCTAAGAACCAATAGTACGGAGCACGCACCAGCGGGAAGAGTGGAATTTTTCCCATGCATTCCGAGAGCTGTTGCTGAGCGAAGTGGTGTCTCAAGAAGGGCAAGTGATCGGGGCTGAGATGAACGTTGTCGCTAGCAAACCAGGTTGGCCAGAATGTACGGATTAGCCAACCGTGGCGGTGCATTTCCGAATCCGGATACTTTCGCGAAACGTAAAAGTCGACCACGCCGATTTGCCCCCCGGGTCGTAGCAGTTGCCTGGCATGTGAGAGCGCGGCGAACCAGTCGGGGATCATGGTGAGGGAATAGGAAAAGGTCACCAGATCCACTTGTTCTTCCGGTGGCGTAAATGTCGTGGCATCGGCCTGCACGGCCTCGACATGATCCCACCCTCTTTGCTCAGCCCGATGTCGAACCTGTTCGAGGAGTGAGGACGACAAATCAACAACATACACTTTGCTGAGTTGTTCGATTCGGTCACCCAAGAGTTCCAAGTTCGAACCGGTGCCGCCTCCCATATCAACCCAAACGCCACCCTCGGGAACATCAATTGCGGCAAACAAGTCTTCACGACCGGAGAGCAACCGCTTGCGGAAGTCATCGTATTCGGCTGCCTGGCCCGAGTAGAAACCTTCCATGCGTTGAGCGTGCGAAGAACCGCGCACGGGAGCCAACGTCAGGTGATACAGCACACGCAGATCGGAGAGCAGAGACATGAATCGCACTTCCAGGTTAAATGTCGTTCCCTGATTTAAGCGGCTAACACATTCGCGATGTGGAAACTGCCGTATGTGTGAACGCGGTCGATTGGGTGTAAGCGATCGGCCAGTTCGCGGTTGTATTCCAACCGCTCACCTACCCGAGCGGTCTGACCGTTTACAGTGGTTTCCACTCGGTCAACAAATTCACTCGATAGCCCACCGCTGCGAAACAAGATGCGTGCATCCGGGGTGCTGTTGTTGAGAATGGCTGCCCATTGAGCCTGCAGCACGTCGTAGGCATTGCTTACGAGCCAATCCATGTGATCCAACAACACGAAGCGTGAGATGTGGCGGTTGTGATTCTCGAGAAAGTTGAGAACGGTCGTGGTGTGCGTGCTCACGCGATCGACCAGCCCGGCCTTGAGTCGTGCGAAATTGTGGGGGCGGAGATATTCGGGACAACATTCCGGGGTGTAGCGTCCGGTGAGATAGACGCGCCAGAAGTAGTTGTCCATTAGCGGCAGGTGCCCGAACACTGAGTCGAGGCTATCTTCGATGAACGCCACGATACCACCTTGGTAGTCCTGCTCTAACTGATGACGTTGGGCGCGAGGGACGCCCAGTAGCGAGAGTGTCGCATCACGGCCAAGCGCCATCCGCATGGATCGAGACCAAATGGCCTCTCGCAAGGAGCCTTGATAGATGGCTTGTTGTTGATCGAGTGAGCCAGCTTCGAGCATGGCCAGCACATCGCCACGCACTTTGGCAACGCGGTCGATGTAAGTATTGATCAGCCGTGCGAAGAAACCTGCGGTTCCATGGAAGTAGAAGCTGGTTCGCCAACCCTCTCCTGAAAAGAAATCGATACGCCGGTCCCAAAATAGTTGAGCCGATTCGGGCAGAGCAGGGCGGAGTGCGTCGTAATAGACCTCGCGATGGTTGGTCAACGCGCCCTGTCCGAACATTTGGAAGAACGTGACGTAGTCCAGCGTACGAATGCCGGCCAGTTTCAGTTCGAGCAAGGCGTTCTGGCGGGGATTCATATCCACTGCATGAACATGGCGAGGTTCGTCCAGCAGGTAGTCGAGCGTATTGCACCCAGCGGAAGTGATGACCAGCACCTCGTCGTCGTTGCTGAGTTGCATTGCCTCGCGATCGAGCCGAGGATCTTCCCAGCACGTGTTGTAGACCAGGTTGCGACCGTGAACCATGCCGAACCATTTTCCACTAAGCCAACCTAACATGCTCGTTCTCCGTTCCAAGGGTGAGTGAAGCGCCTTACGACATGGCCAGGGCGGTGGCGGGCACTGCGTCGACCTGTTGTTCCGCGTCATTCAAGCGTCGAAGTTGTTCGTCCCAGATGTAAGTGGCTGCAACTCCGGCACGAAGCGCAACAAAAGTCGCTGGTCGTTCGGTCCAACAGCCGCTGTTGAGGTAGTGAACGCCTCGCCGACGTTCGTCTTCGGCAACATGCGTGTGCCCCAAGACGATGCCCGTCATACCGCGACGCCGCGCTTCGATGCGTGCACGACGTTTCAAGAGTTCGATCACGCGGCAAAAATGTTTCGAGCGTCGCTTTAGCATTCGAGCCAGACCGTGGGAGCGATCGATGAGCTGAGCGCCGCGGTAGATCATGTCGGCCGCATCAACCACCAGGCCTGGCATTTCCATCGAGTGATCCCATCGATCACCATGAGTCACCAAGTATCGACCTTGGGCGGAATGTAGAATCGCTTCGTCGCAAACGTCGAGGCCGAGCACGGCTTGGGCCCAACCGTCTTCGGGATCGTGATTCCCTCGAATCCAAGTCACTCGACAGCGCTCGGTTAGATCGCGAAGAGCCTTCAACACGGCCACATCACCTTCGCGAAGCCGTCGCAGGCGAGGGCTGTCGAATAGGTCGCCTGCGATGATCAGGTGCCGGGTGGAAACTTGCTTCAGAAAGCCGACGAAGTCAGAGCCTCGCGAGTTGCGGGCCCCAAGGTGCAGATCGCTAACCACGATCTCGTCGAATTTTTGCATCGAAGCGAGTCCTTTCGCTGAAAGGTGCTTTTGGCAGGTTCACCCAAGCGAGCGAGGCACACGCATCACGATCACGACGAGACATGTGCTTGCTCAAGGTGATGACCTACAAGGATTCCATTCGCTGACCTGAGCCACTGGATTCTAATTCCAGCCGGTGTGGTTGATTCTCTCGACGGAGATCGAAGATCCAGCCGTTCGCCTGACTGCCTCAATCAACTCCAAAGAACCTACTCATCGCAAAGAGTAGCCACGTGATTATGAAGGTGCCGAGAATTTGACATTTTTCGGCACAAAAGCTCGGGCAGTGGGGGGACGCCAGGAATAGCGAGAAAAGCTGGGCGCAGGAGAGTTGGCGGTCCCCAAAACGTAAGCCCATCGCGAGAACCTCATCCCCGCCTCATGCAATCTTCACATGTGCGGGAATGAAAGTCGTTTTTTACCGCCAGGTAATTGACCGCCGCGCGGAGTGATCACTGCAAAGCTCAAGTCAATCGATGAAATCCTGTCAGCAGCCGTGACCCTACGCCACCGGCTGCTTTGATACGCGTGACACCGAAGAGCTTTGAGCACCTCGCACCGAGGGCTTGACCAACCACAGCAGCACGGGCGAGGCCACGAACATCGAGCTGTAGGTACCAACCAACACACCCACCATCATGACGAAGGTGAAGGCGTGAATGCCGGTTCCACCACGAATGAAGAGGATCAGCAACACGACAAGGGTTGTGAGGCTGGTCATGATCGTGCGGCCCAACGTCTGGTTGATACTGGTGTTCACCATGTCCTGAGTGATCTTGGGGTCTTTCCCACGTACTTCACGAATGCGGTCGAACACGACGATCGTATCGTTCAGGGAGTAACCCACCAGGGTTAAGAACGCCGCCACCGTGGCCAGGCTGATCTTAAACGGATCGATCAGCAAGAAGCTCAAGGGGCCGGCCAGCCAGAGCGAGAGGGCCACGATTCCCAACGTGATTAGCACGTCGTGAATCACCGCCACCACGGCAGCCAGGCCGAAGACAACTCTTTGGAAACGAATCCAAATGTAGGCGATGATGAACAACTGGCTGGCAACCAGAGCGATGATCGCCTGTTCTCGCATACCGCCGGCGACGCGTCCGCCGATCTTGCTCGAAGATGGGAAGTACGGCTGCGACTCGAGATATTCGGCCGCCTTGGCCAACAGCGGGCCAGCATCTGCGGGCGGTGCCGAAAGAAACACAACCCAGGTTGAGAACGGCTGCTCGCTGGTTTGGTCGAGTCCGACATCATCTGGGGTGAACATCTCGTACTTAACCGAATCGCCAAACGCGGCATCCAGAGCATCGGCCAGTGAGCCGTAACTTAGGGCACGCGACAGTTCGATCGAGGTCTTCGTTCCGCCGGGGAACAGTTCACTGAGATCGGCTTCGATCTCGGCCACCGATTGCATGGAGGCCGCCTCGGGAGTCTCCTCTCCCAAATCGCCCAAGTCGAGGGTAGTTTCGGCAGTGCTTGAAGCGTCTGAGGTGGATTCGGTTGCGGGGGTATCGCTGTCCGCGGCAGGGGCTGTCTCCTCTGCGGCCGGCTCCTCGGTTGAAGCATCATCTTCAGCCGAGGCATCTCCCTCTGAACTCTCTTCAGAGCTTTCATCTTGTGCGAACAGGGCACCACCCAATGCCATGGTGGCGAAGCGAGGGTTGAGCAGGGCGGCAATTCCCTCGGTGCCATCAGGCAGAATGGCACTGGTTGGCTCGTCTTGTCCCTCGGGTGCTTCCCCAGCAGGAATCTCGCTCAACTCGCCGATGGTAATTTCGTTGGTGGTGAGCTTGTTGCCGAACAACTCGAAGAGGGTCTCTTCGACCGTGTTGACGTCTTGCTGTGAGGTATTGATTACGAACTGGTGACCACCTTCGGAGGCATCTTCCAGCTCCAACTGTGAAACGATCGTGTCGGGCAGAATCTCGGGCACCGACTCGATGGTTTTGCGAACCACTTCGATTTCTTGCGGTTCACGGAACCGAGCTTGTACCGAGACACCGCCTGTGAAGTCAATGTCCAGCAGGTTTTTGCCGCGGCTGAACACGGCCACCAGGCCCAACGTAATCAGGATGAGCGAGCCAACCATGGCCACGCGGCTAAGCTTGATGAAATCGATGTTCGTCTCGTTGAGCATCTTCATCATGTTCAACTTGGTGATCCAACGCTTACGTTCGGCGATATCGAAGAACACGCGGGCACAGAACACAGCCGTGAACAAGTTCATGAGCAGGCCGAGGATCAAGGTGATGGCAAAGCCTTTCACCGAGTCGGTACCAATCACATAAAGCACGATGGCCGTAATCAACGTCGTGAGGTTTGCGTCGACAATCGTGCGAGTGGCGCGATCGAAACCGTTGCGAATGGCCATTCTCAAGGCCGCACCACGTTCGAGCTCTTCTCGAATACGCTCGAAGATAAGCACGTTCGCATCGACCGACATGCCCACCCCCAGCACCAAACCGGCGATACCTGCCAGGGTCAGGGCCGCTTTGAAGGTGATCATCAAGGCCAGAATCAACACCAAGTTGGCGATCAATACCACGCAGGAGACCAGCCCCGAGAAGCGGTAGTAGATAACCATCACGATCATCACGGCCGCAAGCGAGATACCCATGGCGATTCGACCCTTTTCGATCGTATCGCGACCGAGCGTGGGTCCGGTTCGATTGCTGCTGAGCGGGTCTTTACGCAGTGCTGCGGGCAGTTTACCGGCATTCAAAATGCTGGAGAGGTGCTGAACTTCCTCTTCGGTGAAGTTACCCGTGATTTGTCCCTGATCGCTGATCGCCCCTTGAATCGACGGTGCAGAGAACAGTTCGCCGTCGAGCACAATACCCAGGTCGCGTTGCAAGCCACCGACCTGGTCGGGCAGATTTTCTGTTGTGAGGCGGTTGAAGTAGAAGGCCCCCGCACTATTGAACGTGAAGTTCACGGCAGGCCGCATACGTTCGTCATAGCCAAGGCGGGCCGTGGTGAGATACTCACCCGTCACATTGTACGGATCGACCATCACCAGCACTTCGGTTGTTTCGCCATCTCGGGCAGCGCGGGTGACATAGTCTCGCGAACCCTTGAAGCGTTCGACTTCTTCTTCATTGACCGGTACGAAGCGGGCGATTACTTTACCGTCGGAGTTAGTTACTTCGTCGACCGCACGAGGAAGCAGTTCGGCAAGTTCGATGGCCGTTTGATGCCGTGAGTCGCGGCGATTGGCCACGATGCGGAACTCAAGTGATCCAATGTCGGTGATGATCTTCCGAATGCGGGCCTCTTCTTCTCGGGTCGCCTCATCACCGCCGTCAGAAACTTGCGGAACGATGATTTCGACTTGGTTCAAGCCGTAGGGTCGGACGGTGATCTCTTTGATGCCACTGGGGTCGAGACGCATGCGAATCGATCCGGCCAACTCGTCCATGTCGACATCTTGGTCTTCTTTCAACTTCTCAGAGTCGACTTCGTAGACCATGATGACGCCACCGGCCAAGTCGGGGCCGTACTGAGGAGGCCAGCCGAGGTACGTGATGGCTGTACCGACGGAGAAGGCGCCTAGCACTAACGCAATCTTCCAGGCATAGTCTTTCATCCGCAGGACGTTGGCCAGCCAGATGCCGATCACGTACGGAGCCACAAAGATCGCGAGAACAATCAGCAGAAATGAAACCCAAGGGGGCATAGTTGTTTAACCCTTTACTCGCGTTGTGCGACCTTCGATCAAAGCCGCACCCCACCATGTTTTCGATACGTTGAATACAGCCCCTCAATGGGCGATTCGTATTAGAAACACTTCTTTACTTGTCTTCGCCTTTTTCCGCAGTCGACTCGGCGGAAACCACCCTAGATATTGAACTCAGCGTGAGCCGGAGCTTGGTGTTGTTCGCTTCGTCGATCTTAATGGTGACTTCGTCGGCGTCTTGCCGCACATTGGTCACCACACCGTAGATGCCTCCGACCGTGATCACCCGATCGTTCTTCTTGAGGTTGCCCAGCATGTCGGTCCGCGACTGCTGTTCACGACGCTGCGGACGCAGAATCATGAAATAGAGCAGGACAAAGATGAGCACGAATGCCGGCATCATCCCCAATTCGCCGAGCCATCCTCCACCGCCACCCTCTTGAGCCAAGACTAAGCAGCTTTGCCACGAAAGATCAGTCACGTCAGTCGCATTTCATTGTGCCATGGGCGGCCGTATCGCAATAGACGATTGCGATGCCACATTCCGCCTGCGAGCCATCATTCGGCCCAGATTGAACCTCCGATGCATTCAACAGGGCAAATCGGGCTGCGAGTTGCCCGATTGCAGTGCCACCGGAACGCATAGCCGGTAAGCATAAGACGTTACCCCACAACGGGCAAGGGCAGCTAAGCCGCACTCAGGACTCAGCCCCTTCCGCGGGAGAGTCTTCGCTCCAGCCGGCTATGGCGGCCTTGCGATACTCCGCAAAATTGCCCACTTCGATGGCAGCCCGAGCCCCCGCCATGAGCCGCTGATAATAGGTGAGATTGTGGGCAGTGAGCAGGATGGGCCCTAGCATTTCACCCGCCATAAAGAGGTGCCGCAGATAGCCGCGGCTGTGGCGACAGGCGGGGCAGGGGCAGTCGGCCTCCAACGGGCGCTCGTCGCGCTGAAACTTAAGATTGCGGAGGCGTAACGTACCTTCAGCGGTGAACGCCAGGGCATTTCGCCCATTGCGGGTCGGCATCACGCAGTCGAACAAATCCACCCCCCGAGCGACGGCCTCCAGCAGGTCGATCGGTCGCCCGACGCCCATCAGGTAGCAGGGTCGATGTCGGGGAAGGTGCGGCCCGGTGGCTTCGATCGCGGTGTACATCTCCGCGGGAGCTTCGCCAACGCTGAGCCCCCCAATGGCATAGCCGGCGAAATCCAGCTCCTTCAACCCCTCGGCACTGCGTGAGCGAAGCTCGGGGTCGAGGCCACCTTGAACAATGGCGAACTGCGCCTGGTCGTCGCGGGTGGCCGCTTCCTGACATCGGGCTGCCCAGACTCGGGTGCGTTCGACGGCGTCTTCCATGGCTTCTCTTGAAGCGGGCAGGGCGAGGACATGGTCGAGCACCATCGCCACGTCGCTGCCAAGGGCTTCTTGGATGGCGATGGCCCGTTCGGGAGTGAGTTCCAATTGACTTCCATCGATGTGCGAGCGGAACACCGCCCCCTGATCGGTCACCTGGGTCATCCGAGCCAGGCTGAAGAGCTGGAAACCACCACTATCGGTGAGAATAGGGCCATCCCAACCCATGAAGTTGTGCAGCCCGCCCAAGTCGCGGATCACCTCTTCGCCTGGACGAAGGGCCAAGTGATAGGTGTTGCCGAGAATCATCTGCGAACCGGTGGCCCGAAGTTGATCGATCGTCATTCCTTTCACGGTCGCCACCGTGCCCACGGGCATGAAGGCCGGGGTATCGACCGGGCCGTGCGGCGTTGTGAAAACCCCACGGCGAGCCAAAGTTTGGCCATCGGTGTGTTGAATCTCGAAACTAAATCCCGGCTGGTTCATGCCCGCCAACGGTAGCCGATGGGAGAAATTGCCGCAACGAGGGTAGGGGGAAGAGTGGTAGAGTGGTAGAGTGGTGTCGCACGGCAAGAAGAATTGGTCGACTAGTCCAGAGTTCCGTAGAACTCTCGAATCTCAAACCTTCCCCTAGGTGTTCGAAATACGTCCGCTCAATGGGAAGTGAACCCCTCTGATGAGCATCTCCTCCCGAACGCCGGAGGGCTTTCCGAGCCACTGTTCAATGTGTGGTGCGGAAACACCGGTTGAATTCTCCATGATTTCGGGCGACGCCACATGCCCAAACTGCGGTCAGTTGCTCTGGTTCACGTCTGAGCTGTTTCGAGTCTATCTGCATCGGATGGCGAACCTGCTGGGGGTACCTCCCGAGGAGATCACTGCGGATGCAAATCTTGTCGACGATCTGGGAGCCGATTCGCTGGACACCGTCGAACTCGTGATGATGTTCGAAGAAGCCTTCGACGTTGATATTTCACAAGAAGATCTGCAACAACTGCAGACGGTTGCCGATGCGATTCGCTTCCTTGAACAGCGCCAATACCGAGAGGATCAAGTCACAAAGCCCATCCCAGGTACTTCACAGCAATCGAGTCAAAGTTGGCTTGCGCGACTGTGGAGGAGGATTAAACGCGTCTTTCAGCGGAAGCCAAGAAGGGGCGACTGAGGGCCCTTTGGGATCAATGCACCCAACCCAGCGTGGTATTTGGATAGTAGTGCTGAAGGATTTCCGCGGCGGTGTGGCCGATTTGGGCCTGGTGGCGGGCGCCCCACTGGCAGAGGCCTACGCCGTGCCCCCATCCGTGCCCGAGGAGTTTCACCTGCTCGCCGTGAACCTCGATTGTGAACATGGGACTGGGCAACGACTCTGACTGAAACGCGAAGCGACGGAGGGTATCGGTGTCGATCTCCAGCGAGCCTATTTCGCCGGTGATGGTCACCTTAGGTAGAAAGCCAGGGGTTTCGTCGGTGACTTCGACCGAGAGAACGCGTCCCACGTTCTGGCCTTGCTCGGAGAGATACTTGTTTACTTCGGTGTGGAAGTTGGCCCGATCGACGACTCGCTCCCAGCGGTAGTTGAACGCCTCGCGACAATCTTCGCAGGCCACACCTAAAAGCGGCGGAGTCGCATCGCGAAACACTTGGCGTCCGTCGAGCGAATGCCCCCCGCAAACCGCGCTGTAATAGGAGCAAAAAACCCGACCGCCATACAACAGCACCACGCCCTGGGTGTCGTCAACCAGTCGCCTGGAAGCTGGGGTCTCAGCCAACATGCGACGGCCAGCCTGATCTTCAAACTCCACCCCGCGATACATCTGGCTGCGTGCGCTGTCGTACACATCGAAGTCGCGTCCGCTGCCAAACGTTTTCATCTGGTAGAGCGTGTAGGTTCTCGCGGCAATGATTTGAGCCTCTCGGGCCGCCAGAGGAAAATCGCCCGGCATCTCCCCGTTGATCACACTGGCCAGGTAGTCGTCGAGAGGAAGTACGTTGATGGGATTAGCGCGTTTGCCGTCCCGTCGTACGAGTAGAAGGCTCCCCCGATAACGGCGGTCTTCGAGCCACAGCTTTCCCGACTCGATAGGCTCGACGACGATGCGGTGCAGAGGAAACTCGCGACCGCCGATTTGAATTCCTTCGGCCGTCGCAATTACTTTACTGGTGTCGAGCATTTCGCCTTGGGCAAGCGTGCGCCAATCGTCGGGTGGCACCACGCGATAAGGACCATCAACGCGGATCTCGAAGCCGTCTTCGTTGGCGGTCCGCAGCAGCACCCGAACGGGCGGAACCGAAGTGGTAGAGGATTCGACACGTTCGGCTTCGGCCGTTGCAACCTGAGGTGGCATGGTAAGCCACAGCGTGACGAGCCCCATGCCGAATGCACTGCATAATGCGAGTACCGCCGGGCGACTCACTTGGACGTATCCCTTCCATTCCGAGTGAGAAAACGCCCCAGGCACCGCGAAGGGTACCTGGGGCTGTTAATTATCTCTGAGCAGTTGCAAAACGTGCGTCTGCCGATCAATCGCCACGCAGCTTGAGGCCGTGATTGGTCAGCTTCTCGCGAACTTCGTTCAGGCTGGTCACGCCAAAGTTCTTGCATTCCAGCAACGAGTCGCCCGTGTGGCGAACCAAGTCGCCAATGGTGCTGATGCCCAGGCGAACCATGCACTTGCGGGCACGCACTGACAGGTTCAAGTCTGCAATCGGACGGGCCATCAGCGCCTGTTCGTCGGGCGAGAGATTCTCTGGCTCGTAAGCGGCTTCGGCGGCACGCTTCTGGTCGGCAAACTGACCGAGCCCTAGACCCTTGGAGGCCATCATCTCGCGGATTTCAACGAGCGAGGTTTCGCCAAAGTTCTTGCTGCCAAGCAGGTCTTGCTCGGTGGCGGCGGTCAAATCGCCCAGGGTGTGAATGCCCATCTTCTGCAGACAGTTGCGGCTGCGGACCGAAAGCTCGAAATCGGTAACCGGCACCGAGAGCACCTGACCGAGACGATCTCGCTTCTTCTGGGCGTCTTCGTCGTAGTACATCTCGCGGGCCGCATCGGCATCGCGAAGGAACAAACGAGCCTGCGGGTGGTCGGGGTAAACTTCGAGAATGCGACGGAAGCATTCCCGGGCCCGATCATACTCTTGGCGGTCTTCGTAAAGAATTCCCAGGTTCAAAAGCGAACCGACATGCGCGGGAAAACGTTCGACAGAACGCTTGTAGTACTGCAAGGCGGTGTCGTCGTTGCCATGACGATCGTTCTCCATCGCCAAGCCGAACAAGGCACCGGGGTGACGAGGGTCGGCGTCGACGGCTCGCTCGTACAGGGCGATCACTTCAGAGGTGTTCCCACCTCGAGAGGCAACCGTTGCACCGCGCTGATACAGATACTCGGCTGTTTGCTCAACAGCGCCAGACAACGCGTCGAGTTCGCCCATGGCTTCGTCGAGACGCTTCAAGTATCGCAACGCTTCGGCACGGCCAAGGGCACAGGCGTCGCTGTCGTACCCGGCGGTTGCGGCCGCTTTGTAGCTGTTCAGAGCTTCTTCGTATTTCTCTTGGGCGAAGTAAGCCTTGGCCAAATAGTAGTGCGCCAGGGCACCGCCATCGGCAGTGGAGAGGTATTCCGCGGCCCTTTTGAATTGGCCAAGGATATACAGACAGACTCCCACGCGTACTTTCGTCGCGGGCGACATGTCGTCTTGTTGTTCTAATTGTTGGACGGCGTCGCGTAGTTCGCCGTAGTTGCTGAAGTCTTCGGCGATGGCATTAACCAAACGCACGACGTCTTGCGGGCCGAACGAGGAGTTCGACAACACCGACTGCTTCACATCAATATCGACCACTTCGGCCATGACGTGTTTCTCCCAAACGTCAAGCTACAATCCAAGCCCAACCCGTAGTATACAGAATTCCCCTACCACTCGTCGACGGCCCGGCCTGAGCACTCGATCTGCGGAACTCATTTCCGCTAGCGAGGTTGCCGGAACTGAGGGGAGAGAGCCAGCGGCGGGAGTCGAACCCGCAACCCCCGCATTACGAATGCGGTGCTCTGCCAATTGAAGCTACGCTGGCGATGGCAGCTCAGAATCTCTTCCGAACCAAATACGGTAGACGACAATCGTAAACTTAGTCAATACCGCAACATAAAACTCGTGACGCGGTGATTGGGCACGACACAATCGCGGTGGAAAGACGAAGGCAATCCGGCTGCATCGTGGTGAACTAGCGGGCTCGTCTACCCGGCCGGGCTGGGGGTGGTTGCATCGGTGGAGGGCGTCTCTGCGACTTCGAGCGGACGGCGTTGCACGCGAAGATCGGTGATGATCACCTCATCGACCGCCCTCATGTCGAGGCTGGCGTTGATCCGCTCCTGCAGGGTTCGCTTGAGCTGATCCATGGCGGTTTGTTCGAAGTCTGCCCCTTTCGCCATCCGCATCAGCTCTTCGACGTCTTGTTTTACCCGAAACTGCCGCTGAGCCAGGCGTTCGCGAGCTTCGTCATCGAGCGCTTCGAGGAGATCGATGTGAAGCGTGAACTCGGCAGCCATGATGTTCGCGGTTGTAGGCCGATTCTCCTGATAGACGAAATCGCCCAGGGTTACTTCGCCCTCGGGCTGTTGTGCGGCCGTAGTGCTGCGGAAGTACCAAAAGCCAACCCCTTGCATGACCAGCGAAATCGCCAACAAGACGGCCAAAGTCGCTCGGCTCGTAGCGGCTGCGAAGACTCGTTTCGCCGCTCCGCCTTTCTTGGCCGGCTTGGCCTCGGCACTGGCCGCCTGCTCGTCTGCTTTGGGTTCATCTGCCATGGGGTTTCTCGGTGGCTACGATAGAAACACGCGTGCTTTGCAGGGATCGCAGACCGTTGGAAGTCGCACGCATGCCGACTCCCTAGTCCATCGAAACCATAGCATTTGCCTTAAGAACGCGGGAAATGCCCACCTGGTCTCACATTCCAGGGGAGCAGGATCATCGGCCCAGCTCTCACAGATCGACCGAGCGCAAAAAAAGGGAGCCTCCGACGTGCCATCACAAGATGACGAAACGGGATGGCCAGGGGCAAGTTAACCATCCCGCCAACACGCGTCGGAGGCCCCGCGGGCCAGCTCGGGAATATTTTGGAGAACGATCGTTGTTATCGTTCTGGCGGATCCGTTAATGCATTGTGCGTGCCAATCCTTACAACCGGCCAAAAATTCACCCTGGGCGATTGTCGTACAATGCAGCCCCATAAGCAGTTTACGCGAAATAAATTTATCCTAAGTCGCTATTTCAAATAGATTTAGGCTGATCCGAACCATGTTGTTTTTTGCAGCACCTGGCGCAAGAACGTACGACAGCACCCCACTGATGCACCCCGAAATGGTGGAAATGGCCCTATGGGGCACTTATGCGTCTCAATCCGAGACAAAACAAGAGTCTCATTCACCGCAAAGTGTTTATTATCAATTGGTTGAAGACACACAATGCGTCATCGCCATCCCGAATTACTCTCA